TTTTAAAACCAGGTTAGAATGATGAAAAAATAAAATAACATGCCAATCTCATTTATGAACAGTAACAAAAAATCCAAATAAATTATTAGCAAAGAAAATTCAATGATTTATAAAGAAAAAACAATATGACCCATTCAAAATAAAAATCATAAACATGCTGATGAATCTGCAGAGAAAAAACAATATGACCCAACTGGGTTTATCCCAAGAATTTTAAATATGAATTAAGTTTAGAAAACTCTATTACTGTTATCTATGTCTATATTTTATCTGTTGCCACATTAGCTGATTAAAAGAGAAAAATAGCAAATCAGCTCAGTAGGTGGAAAAAAAGCATTAAAAATTTTTTTTGATTTAAAAGACACATTTCTTTGCAAACTTAGATTTCCTTGACCTAAAAATGTTTTAACAGAACAGTAAAATCATATGTAATGTAGATACATATAAAATAATTGTAGTATTGTAGATTGATGTACTATAGACATACATGTAAAACAGAATAAGAAAGAAATTGGTAAAACAAACATCATTAAAGTTAAAAACAAAAACTCTTTGAAAACTAGGGAAAAAAACAAAATTCCCTAACCTGATAAAATTTGTAGAACTACCATAAATATCCCATTTAATGGTGAAGCATTAGAAGTATTCCTTTAAAATTTCCTCTACCACTCATTGTTTGGGGTGGAATCAAGATCAGTGTTCAGTACAGAAGAAAGAAAAGGGAAACTACAGGTATAAAGGAATTTTTAAGGAAGAAACAAAACCATAATCATTCACAGTATTCATTAACTAAACAGAAAACTCAAGAGAAAAATAGACCGATTATTGGAATTAGTAACTGAAGCCAGAATGTATACTGGACATAAGACAAATATATAAAAATCAGTTGCATTCTTACATGACAAAATATACATATAATTTTAAAGAATGCCCACATATAATAGCAAAAAAAATAAGGTACCAGAAATAAATCTAATGAAAGTGTGCATATCTTTATAAAGGAAATTATAAAACTTTACTGAAAGATAGTTAAGAAGTTCTAAGTAAGACCTTAGGTAAGTTCTAAGTAAATGCCAAGGATAAGAAGAATAAATATCGTAAAGATGTTAAATCCCCCCAAATAAGCTGTAAAACCAGTGTAATTCAGTCACAGTCCCAAATATGTTGCTCATGGAATTTGACAACTGTGCCCTAAAATTTATATAAAAGAGCAAAGAACTAAAAATAGACATGACAACTTGCAAAACTGAGGGTGAGGATCCTCATCCCAGCAGCCAAGCAGACTCTCCTAAAACTGGAAGAGTGGGCAGTGCAGTACAGAGACAGGCCAAAGAGACCTGAGAATGCAACAGAGGACTCAGACATCGATGTGTTCATACATGAAAAGCTGGTGTGCAACAGATGTGCCTTTGCAAATCAGCAAGGAAAGGACAAAGCAGCCACGACAGGGGCTGGGACCATGGAGACAGAGCACTCCTGGCAACCCCAGGGGAAGCAGAACGGAAGGGGAGAAGACCCTGGCTTCTCTCTTCAATCTCCTACCTGTGCTTCCCATTAGCCGAATAAAAATGGAAGCCAAAGGACCTTGGGAAATGTCTTCAGAGATGGACTCCCTCCAGGAAGAGGGGAAAAGCTGAGAAAGGACCCGAGGACAAAGAGGTGAGTGCCCTCACTCAAAGAGGTGAGTGAAAGCATGTGTGTGATTTGCTATCACACAATAGACTACTCATAAAACATATCCTATAAAGGACTTGTATATGGAATATATAAAGAATGCTTACAATTCAGTAACAAGAAGAAAAACAATCTGATTTAAAAATGAGCAAAAGATTTAAACAGATCCCCTACAAAGAACAATAGCCAATAAGCTCATGGTCAAGCGCTCATCATCCTTGGGCATTAGATGCAGGTTAAAGCCACAGTAAGACACCACACTGTGGTGTCTGTAATTTAAGAGTCATCATTCAGGTTGGTGAGGACATGGAATAACAGCCTCATACAATGCTGGTAGGAATGTAAAATGGTACTAGTTTGGGAAAAAGAAACCTGCCATTTTCTTAAAAGTTTGAAATAGGATATTCAAAAGCATGATTATCCAACTAGTGTATTTCCCTACATTAGACCTAGAAATATATACAGAATAAAATAGGGTTAAAAAAAGTTAAATACAGTTATCATACAGCTCAGCCAACTCACTCCTGTTAGGCATCCGAGAACAATGCAACAATGTGTCCACAAAGGGGCTTGGACACCATCGCTGGGGACGGGGACAGTAACAGCCTCTCTCTGAGTGACCCCTCGCTCTAAGAGCCGAGAGGGGGTGGAGCACGTGCTAAGGGGTTCCTGGCTGGCCTCTTGTGCACGGAACCCTTACCAGGGCCCCCATCGTGGTGTGCTGCACCCAAGCTAGCCCCTCCACGCTGTGAGGGGGACCTGGGGCGGCAGCAGGGAATTCTAACCAGGAAAGAAAACACACTTCATTTCGGAAGGATCACTCTGGCATGCTGCTCTGAGGTCTGCCCAACCGGCAATGCTGGGTGAAGATGATTTACAGTAAAACCAAAGCAGAAAGAGCCCAAGAGACTGGCACTGGCTGAGGTTTCACTTTTCCTTCTTAACCTATTGGCTACAATTCTAAATTCTGTACACCAGGGTCTGGTTCATCCGTCCAAAGGTGGGGGTCTGTAGCTCTTAACAGATGCAGCCCCGACTAGTTTTAGAACCAGTTTATGCAGCAGAGCAGCTGTACGGCAGAGGAAGCTGAGCCTACAGAGCAAAGCCCCGCCCACTGTTCTCACGTTCTATCACATTCAAATGGTGAGACCTGGTGGCCCAGGTCAGCGTCCAGACAAAACAAGTCCCTTTCCTCGGACAAGTTTCTCTGTTCTCTTTACAGAATGTGGCAGGCAGAATGCCCCCTTCAAAGTTGTCAACACCCTAATGCCGGCAGCCTTTGAATATGTTATAGTAAATGGTAAAGGGGGCTTTGTCACTCACTGTAAAGCTACAGATTTTATTATTGGGAGATTATCCCAGATTATCTGGGTGGGTCCAATTTAAGGATGTGAGCCCTTAAGAGTGGTGAACCTTCTCCAGCTAGGGCAAGAAAGACTGTAGCGGGAGAGGGGCTAGGTCTACCAACGCTGAGGATACCGCATAGACAGCATGAGGAGGAATGTGCAGAGACTGCCCGCCACTGACAGCCAGCAAGACAACGGGGAACTCGATCCTTACAACCCCAAGCATCTGAATCCTGCCGCTGAGCTGAACGAGCCTGGAAACTCGGTCCTCCCGGGTCCTCTGGCAGAGAGCCCAGCCCGGATGATGGCGTGGGCCTGGCGTTGCGAGGCCTTCCACAGGGGAGCTGAGCCCTGGGAGGCCCAGACCTTTGGGCCATGGAGCTGTGAGATAATAAATGGGTGTTGTTTGAAGCCACTAAGTTTGTGGTAATTTGTTCTGGCAGCAATAGAAAATGAATATGTAAACACTTTTTTAAAAAAAGCATGCAAGCTGAATTAACAAGCAAAAGTGGCTTTGAGTGTAATTCACTGTCCTCATGGCAAATACAGACGGAGGAGTCCATGAGTTCTTTGCTTAACAGTCACAGCCTTTGTCCCCTTTGTGCCCCTCAGTATACGGCTGTATTCAGTGGAGGGCCTGAAGCTCTTTTAGGGGGTTTTCTCTCTGAGGCCTTCTAGAACACACCGGAATGGAGAATGATGAATCTGTGAGATCAAGACTGTGACAGGAAGACCAATGATCAGGCCACTGCGCTCATCCAGCCGAGGGGCAGCAGGGCAGGGCTAGCTGGTATGAAGTCCAAATGCAGTGGGAGACGTTGGCGTCAAACGGCTCTAGAAGGGCTGGCTGGTGGTGGGAGCACCAGGGCATCGGACAGCACGCCAGAGGAACAGACCCAGGGAGAGACAGCAGTGGCGGAAGCTAGTTTGGGACATGCTGGGTCTGAGAGGCCTGTAGAGAATCCAGGGGTGACCATGGGTCGATGGGAACTGGAAATTGAAGCTCCGCTGATTCTCAACTAGAGACTGCAATTGGGAATTGTTAGTAACTCCCAGTATGCTTATTAACATATTCTCAAAGATGCTTCTGGGTTTTCTTTTGCTTTAAAATATGAGGAATGAAGAAATGCCTATAGACAGTAACAGGATATTTTGTTTGCTTGAGGTAGTTAGAAAAGGATTGGAGGAGAGAGAAAAAGGGATGAGAAGAGGAGAAAGCTATTCACCACGGCAGTGTTGACGTATCTAATATATTATATTATATGAAAAACCTGTGCTCAGAAAGTTCATTCTCTCTCTTAGAGGTGAAAAAGGATGTAGTTCAGGGGGCAGTACTAGTAAATGTTTCCATTAGCCACCAGGGAGCACAGCCAGCCAGGAAAGCTAGTTCCTGCCTTGGCAAGTGAGGATGTGTGGGTAAAACTGCAATATTCCCAGAATCTCTCACCTGGCCTTAGTGCATCTCCATATCGATAGGTGATTCCAAGGGGTGGAGAGAATTAATCCACCTCCACATCAAGAGGTGATTCCAAGGGGGAGCAAGGGCCTATCTGAAGGCTGCAAACAGAATCAGGGAGAGAGTGAGCTGATCATGTATCAGAGCTGAGGAGGGCTCCCTGCAGAACTGCCAGCTGTGGGGAAGGCAGCCAGCCAGGCAGGGGGCACTCAGGACAGAGTGCTCCTCATTTCCCAGCCTCTCTAGATGGGCTCAAAAAGAATTAAAATATTTAACCCATTCCAAACCACCAAACGATCATTTTAGGCCATGGAAACATATGCTATAATTCCATTACCTTTCCTGATACCTCTGGTTTTGGCTAACAAGTAAAATAGTTGTCAAGGTTCTCTTAAACTCTCTAATAGAGCTAGTCCAAAATTCTTTATGTGAAAAACTCCAGAATCTTTTATTGTTGCCTTTTTAAACTCCCCTTAGGCACTGCCCCAATATTGTTGCATTCAAACACATTTCTACCACAAGGATTAAAAAGTACTTAAGTATATCTTTATTGTACTTTGTATCAATGCCATACACACACACACACGTTTGCATCACTTAATAAGTTATAACATTCCAAGTTTTAATAGTAATAACAAGGGCATAAACGATCATTTCCCGAGTTAAAAGTGCAGTGTAAAATTTACTCTGTATTGCTAATTAGACATTTTACAGCATAGAAACATGATCAAAATGATCATTTACTTTATCATATCATAAAACACAAGAGCTCAATGTAGAACACTGATACACTTTAAACAGTAAGGAACTTTGGACTCATAACAAAGAATCCTGTATGTACTTGTTGCCATGATTGACTTTTCAGGTGAGATCAGTAGTAAAATAAATTATGGTACAAAATAAGGTCAACAAGTTACCTACACTGAAGGAGCATTTTATTTCATTTAAAAAACTGAAGCCTGGATTCTAGTTAACCTTTAGGTATAGACAAAAATGTTCTCTTAAAAAACCCTAAGTAATCACAAATTTAGATAAAACAGTTGAATAAAGGACAATAGCCTCTTCATTATGCTGTAAAACTATGGATCTCATCTTTGGGAAAGTTCAGATCATCCAGCAACCTGAAATACAAATACAAAGCATATGTTTCTCTGAGAAAAGGTAGTAAAGAGGTAAGATCAAAGTTTACCATCATAATCATAGTATTTTCTTCATTTTCCCCATTTAATATGTACTTTCCCCTGAATCCCACTTCTTAAAAAATTAACAATAATTCCTTAATATCATCAAATACATAATGTTTAAATGTCTCATAAGTGCCATCAATTTTAAAAGTTTGTTTGGAATCAAGACTCAGTTGAGGCCCACTCACTGTGACTGGCTGGTATGTCTTTTAGGTACTTTTGATCTGTAAGATCCCCCTCTGTCCCCCCTTTCTTTTTGTCCTGCAAATTACTTGACAAAATCAGATTTTTATGTGTTGAGTTTCCTACAGTCCTTATTACGCTCCATCTTTGTAGTATACTTAAACAACATATTCTTATGTCCTCTTATTTCCCATAATAATTGGATCTAGAAGCTGGATTAGATACATGTTCAACTCTTTCTGACAAAACTACTTCATAGGTAGCGTTCGTCCATCAGAGGCACATACCTGTTTGTCTCTCTTTACGGCTGCCACCAACCACCGACGACCTACTTACAGATCCACTAAGTCAGTAGGGACTGAAGTCAGTGACAGTCTATTTCTACCATTCTTTCTTCATTTATCAATTGAGAAATTCTATGAAGAAAATTCTGCTCATTTTTTATGTGGTTACCCAGAAGTAGAGCTCACACAGAAAAGGCAGAGTAAGTGCTTGATTTTTTTCTCCTGTATTCACTAGCATTCTGTCTCACTCACTGAACAGGAAAAGCAGAAATATTGCTTAAGTGTAATCCAACTTGAAAAATATTATGGAGACTGAATTCTTAGAAATAGCTCTGTAAGAAATGCTACTGAAAATAATAAATACTTTTTAGAACTTAGTATACGTAGTCACTGTGCTAAGCACTTCAGATGTATAATTATTACTATTTATTCCCTTTTAGAAGTGCATTAAAGCTTAGGAACTGGCTGGAGGACACCTAGATAATGACTGTCAGATGATTATGAGCAGTCCAGCTGGGAGTCAAACCCAAACCGGCAGCTTCCAGAGCGCACACACACATTCAGGCAAAGGCACAGGAATGGCACAGGAGTTGTGAGGGCCAATCGGGGCAACGGTCAAGCCCCCAACTACCCAAACCCATTGTCCCATTCCACCCATGCCTGGCTATCCCTGAGAAGTGGCGTCGCGCTCACACAGTAGTCTAGTCCTCGAAGGGAACGCCGGCACTCTCAGTCTCTGCTTGTTCCTTCTGTGCCTGCGCCACCCTCCCGCACCTCCCGGCCGGCAGCATTTCAGTCACCACTCAAAGTGCACATCTGCCCAACCATGCAGCTCCCCCCTCTCCAACGCCACACCCCTGGGTAACTGTCTCTCCCTGAATTTCCATAAACCTTGTTTTTATATTTAGTAGGACTATTTATGATATTCTGAGTTATATTTTAGTTATCAGTATGTGCATTTGTTTCCACCACTGGCTAGTGTGGGCCTCAAAAACAGAGACTGTTTTATTCATCTACGTAATTAACAAAGTAGGTATTTAGTGGATAAAAGGATCTTTATTGGCCAAGTAAGTATAAGCTCCTTATCTGTATTTTTTAAAAAAAGGTTTCTGAGTCTTTCTCTGTTATCACATCATACAATTTGACAAATTGTCACCAAATATGGAGAGTATGTTTGGAATGGTCATATTCACATAGCAGACATGAAATCAACTTTGAAAGGCCCTAGTAGTGGACACACCAAAGCACAAGTCATTTTTCAAGACAGCAAAAGCTATGATATAATATGGGCCCCATGTAACTGCCAAGCACATCCATTATGACAGTGAAGAAAAAGAAATCAAAGCAATGACTTCCATATTGAAAGTCACAAGGCCAGGCACTAAGAATTCCAAGGATTGATTTGAATCAAGTTACATCTCACAAGGCAACTCTAGGCAACATGTTTGAGGGCGAGCATCAGCAGGGATCCATACATGGTGATTAGTAATACTTCTGAGCAATTCTGGGCAAGCCAGCTAGTATAGCATAAAGAGATTCTTTGGTGAAGCTGAGAAAATAAAGCTGTAGAAATTATAAGATAAAATTCTAAAATTGCAAAAATACTAGGGTCTTGACTACCTTCTATTCAATTACAGATATGTCACAGCTCCAATATGCAGGAAGGGGACTAAGCCTCATATGCAACCACAGTGAAGAACCCTCAAGAAGCCCATAATTTATGGGAGAAAACAACTCAGTTCTATTAGGAGACTGTATGAGGGCACTGAAAATTGGGCTAAGTAGCCTTAAAAGACAGTGTCTTTCAGTACTTAAAAGTCTGATTCTCATCATTTAAAAGCACTATTGTACTGGAATCTATAAAGCAAGCTATACAGAAAGTAGCCTTTTTTCCCCTGAAAATATGCTTTACTTCAAACCATTATGTTAGTCTTCACTATAACTTCAATAGTCCTGTTTGAGCTTTAAAACAGTAAAAGTATAAAAAGTAATTTAAAAATGTGTTTTAAGTTGAGAGAGCTTAAGCAGAAGAACATTTTTTCGGGAAGTATTCCAATCCAGAAATACAACTGAGTTTAATTAAAATGTCTTTTAAATACAACATGGAGAAAAACACTTATTCTTTATTGGTTTATTGAGGTTGACCTTTTCCTTAATTAAAATTTAAAAAAATGAGAGAAAAAAAAATCTAGAAACTGTTAGGTTTAGTCATGTATCCAACAAGGCAAAGCAGGGCATTAAGGCACTCATATTTTAAGATTATCTAGAAACCAATGGTGGCTATATTTACCCAAATATTTTAAAGTGTCATTTTAGAGTTAAACCAGATCAAGATCAATTTCAAGTAAGATGGACACTACCAGTGACTTCTCAATATTTGTCTTGCTGTCTGGCTTTCAATCACTGTATTATTAACTAACTTTCATTCAGTAGCAGAGAATGAAGAAAGATCAAAAACTACAATGAGATGAACATTGCTTATAAATGACTATGTACTCTAAAGCTTTGCTGGAAGAGGTTGAGCCTACTGTCCCAAGGAAGGCTGTGGAAACAATCCTACGGATCCACATCTGCACTGTGAGTCCGTGGGCAAAGAGCACACAGCCAGCCATGCCTCCTGTCTGCCCATCTGGCCCCATGCATCGTCTTGGCGTGAGACCCTTTGCCTGTATGAAAATCAGACACTTTGCTATTTCCCTAGGCTGTAGCAGGCCAGCAGAGTGCAGAGTCATGTGGATCGGAAGACCTGAGAACTAAGTCAACTGCCTTTTATGGGAGATCTTTGTTTCAAGGTATTGAATATTCTTTTTCCTATCACATCGTTACTTACCTTATTCCTTGTTCTGTAAATGGTGTTGACCCACAAACGCAGATGAGAGCTTTGGATTTGTCTAAACTTCTTTTCAAAAATTCAGAAAGAAGGGCTTGTGAAATGTGTCCTTGTTTACCATTCCATTCAGAAGTAGGTGCTGACAGGACAAATTCAACCTCAAATCTAGAGAAAAGAAACTTTTTTTAAAAACCTATTATTCAGACATGTTATTAACATGTTACAAGTTCACTAAAACATTTTCTATTTTCCTCCTCAAAAACAACTTAATAAGTAAAGATTGATATACTTGCTAAAAATGTAGTGGAACAGATCATAAGCAAAGGTTTAACAAAAACATACAGGTAAATCCATACTTATTAAGGATTAGTTTTTGCTACAGATAAGAAGAGTAATTTGGCATTTTATTTACTGACCTCCATTAAGGGATCTCAGAGAACTCATTTCTATTGATAATCTGTATATATAAATTGCAGTAAAGGGCAATTACCAGTGTCAAGTGCATGTTCATCTCTGACTCAAATGTCTCCAATGAGTTCAAGCCCCTAACAACCAATTTTGACTGATTTCCTATACTATTGCTGCCTCAACATCCTCAACCTCAACTTAAGATCTCCCACCCCACACCTGATGTGATCTTTGTGGATGGCACCATGGTTCACTTGGCTGCAAAAGCCAGAAGCCTGGGACTTACCCTGGGGACCTCTCTCTGCTTCATGCCTCATGTTCACATTTATACTTCCACCAACTATGGCTGTAGTTTCCAGCCACGTGTCTACTTCTCTGTCTTCACCGCCACAATGCTGCCTCTTCTCTTTCTTCTCTCTGTAATGCTCCTACCATAACCCATTTGTCATTCAGCTTGAGCATCACTTCCACAGGAGGGAGGCACTCTGGCCCACCAGTCTGTGGTTTTTTGTTATATATATTACAGAAGTGTTTTCCTTTTCCTTTTCTTCAAAGCCCTTACTTCAGATTGTAAATATGTGGTCACCAAGATGATTAATTCATTAATGTCTACCTTCCCCACTAGACCATAAACTCTAAGGCAGCAGGGACCACAGTCGCTGTGACTGTCACTGCATCCCTAGTGGCCACCACACAGGAGGTACTCAGATGCATGGGAGGAAATAGGGAAGAAATAGAAGGGACACGGAATCAAAATGAGAAACAAGAATATCAAACTAAGTCTCACGATGTAACTGTAGGCCTTTTCTTCCCATGGCTTTGTAGCCTGCTATGAGAGCTGCTGGTGAAGAGCCACAGTAAATTCAAAATTCTATGTTGTGCTTGCTTCCTTTAGCCCACTGTAGTAAACACAATGAATTCTTACCATTTTCAGTAGCACCAGATCAAATGCATTTCTACGTTTTCCGAGCATAAATGAGATATTTTCTCAAGAGTAGCAGGAACTAATTATACATTAATCTCAGTGTTAAGAAAAAGTAGAAGTGAACAGTGTCTCTTGTGAGGGAGTTTGGGGGGCCAAATATCAAAACAAAAACAAGATGTGTTGCTGGTGCAGCTGCTCTGACATCACTGGGCTGCAGCTTTATTAAGGTTCCTAAGAACTCACTGGCCCAAAGCAGACCAACTAAGAGTGCCAGCTGAGTGCTAGAGAATCAGCCCCAGCTCTCATCTAGACCTCAGCCTGTAGGTCTATTTGCCCATCTGTGGAACAGTGGGAAAACTACACAATCTATTATAATCCTAATATACTGATTTTATATTTAAAAACCCTCTAGAGTTATATTTTATTTCTTACTGTGAGACTAAATTCCCATTTAGTCTCAGTAGCAATATTAATCTACTGAGCTATATAAAACAGCTTCTCCAAACACTTTCTTTCACTAACTTATTTTTTCTTTCCTATCACTTAAAATTAAGGTAGTTTTAGACAACTCTAGAATGTGGTATTTGCTTACTGCTCCATGAGGGCAGGGTCCTAGTCTGTCCTGCCCGATACTGTCTCCAGGCCTGGCTTGAGGTAAGTATGCAAAAATAAATACTTTGTGAAGGAATAAAGGAAGCTATACTGACTAAAAATAAAAATTTTATTTTAGAAGAACTAAGCCATATGCTGGCATCTATGAAATTATACGTAACAATGTGTGTGAATCTGTAAGTGCACTATTCTGGGAAGGTCTGTAACTTTTCACTGGATTATAAAAGTGAAAAGCTGCTACAGAAAAACTATTTTAAGAAATTCCCAATTTTACATAGACAATTAGATAAAAGATAGCAAATTACTTGTTCAATTAAAAATAAAAGTGTCCTTCAGCTGTATTTCCAACAAGCCTATTACTGGAATAAAATTGCTGAGATATATAAATCAATAGTGGCATCCCTGTCATCCAGAAATAATAATAATTTTCCTTTGCTGAGATGCTTAAAAAAATGCAGTCAGTGGCATACTTTCTGCAGGTATCTACTAAAGGGTGAGACCCTTACATAAATGGTTTAAAGTAACTGAGACCCTTACATAATGGTGTAAACTTCACATGCATTTTACATTTTATTCATATAATGGTCCCTTAGCTATAACTTAAGGGCACTCAATAGAAAACATGAACAGTAACTTGGATGCAATTTTTAAGGATATAGTAAAGAGGTTGCTGTTTATCATCTTAATGGGACAAGAAAAGAGCTTAAACGGAAGCAGGAGCAAAACCAAGTGAAGACTCAAGAATACCACATCAAGATAGAGATGGTTACTGTGGAATCTTCTCTTCTGTATTTTTTGCAATGAAGGCCAACTCACTGTCTGAAACAATTATAGCCTTGAGTTATGAGAGGGCACAATGGCAAATGTCCTGAAATTCATTTCTACCCTATGATCTCAAAAGTGCAAGGAATAGGATCAGGCAAAGGCACAGGAATGGCACAGGAGTTGTGAGGGCCAATCGGGGCAACGGTCAAGCCCCCAACTACCCAAACCCATTGTCCCATTCCACCCATGCCTGGCTATCCCTGAGAAGTGGCGTCGCGCTCACACAGTAGTCTAGTCCTCGAAGGGAACGCCGGCACTCTCAGTCTCTGCTTGTTCCTTCTGTGCCTGCGCCACCCTCCCGCACCTCCCGGCCGGCAGCATTTCAGTCACCACTCAAAGTGCACATCTGCCCAACCATGCAGCTCCCCCCTCTCCAACGCCACACCCCTGGGTAACTGTCTCTCCCTGAATTTCCATAAACCTTGTTTTTATATTTAGTAGGACTATTTATGATATTCTGAGTTATATTTTAGTTATCAGTATGTGCATTTGTTTCCACCACTGGCTAGTGTGGGCCTCAAAAACAGAGACTGTTTTATTCATCTACGTAATTAACAAAGTAGGTATTTAGTGGATAAAAGGATCTTTATTGGCCAAGTAAGTATAAGCTCCTTATCTGTATTTTTTAAAAAAAGGTTTCTGAGTCTTTCTCTGTTATCACATCATACAATTTGACAAATTGTCACCAAATATGGAGAGTATGTTTGGAATGGTCATATTCACATAGCAGACATGAAATCAACTTTGAAAGGCCCTAGTAGTGGACACACCAAAGCACAAGTCATTTTTCAAGACAGCAAAAGCTATGATATAATATGGGCCCCATGTAACTGCCAAGCACATCCATTATGACAGTGAAGAAAAAGAAATCAAAGCAATGACTTCCATATTGAAAGTCACAAGGCCAGGCACTAAGAATTCCAAGGATTGATTTGAATCAAGTTACATCTCACAAGGCAACTCTAGGCAACATGTTTGAGGGCGAGCATCAGCAGGGATCCATACATGGTGATTAGTAATACTTCTGAGCAATTCTGGGCAAGCCAGCTAGTATAGCATAAAGAGATTCTTTGGTGAAGCTGAGAAAATAAAGCTGTAGAAATTATAAGATAAAATTCTAAAATTGCAAAAATACTAGGGTCTTGACTACCTTCTATTCAATTACAGATATGTCACAGCTCCAATATGCAGGAAGGGGACTAAGCCTCATATGCAACCACAGTGAAGAACCCTCAAGAAGCCCATAATTTATGGGAGAAAACAACTCAGTTCTATTAGGAGACTGTATGAGGGCACTGAAAATTGGGCTAAGTAGCCTTAAAAGACAGTGTCTTTCAGTACTTAAAAGTCTGATTCTCATCATTTAAAAGCACTATTGTACTGGAATCTATAAAGCAAGCTATACAGAAAGTAGCCTTTTTTCCCCTGAAAATATGCTTTACTTCAAACCATTATGTTAGTCTTCACTATAACTTCAATAGTCCTGTTTGAGCTTTAAAACAGTAAAAGTATAAAAAGTAATTTAAAAATGTGTTTTAAGTTGAGAGAGCTTAAGCAGAAGAACATTTTTTCGGGAAGTATTCCAATCCAGAAATACAACTGAGTTTAATTAAAATGTCTTTTAAATACAACATGGAGAAAAACACTTATTCTTTATTGGTTTATTGAGGTTGACCTTTTCCTTAATTAAAATTTAAAAAAATGAGAGAAAAAAAAATCTAGAAACTGTTAGGTTTAGTCATGTATCCAACAAGGCAAAGCAGGGCATTAAGGCACTCATATTTTAAGATTATCTAGAAACCAATGGTGGCTATATTTACCCAAATATTTTAAAGTGTCATTTTAGAGTTAAACCAGATCAAGATCAATTTCAAGTAAGATGGACACTACCAGTGACTTCTCAATATTTGTCTTGCTGTCTGGCTTTCAATCACTGTATTATTAACTAACTTTCATTCAGTAGCAGAGAATGAAGAAAGATCAAAAACTACAATGAGATGAACATTGCTTATAAATGACTATGTACTCTAAAGCTTTGCTGGAAGAGGTTGAGCCTACTGTCCCAAGGAAGGCTGTGGAAACAATCCTACGGATCCACATCTGCACTGTGAGTCCGTGGGCAAAGAGCACACAGCCAGCCATGCCTCCTGTCTGCCCATCTGGCCCCATGCATCGTCTTGGCGTGAGACCCTTTGCCTGTATGAAAATCAGACACTTTGCTATTTCCCTAGGCTGTAGCAGGCCAGCAGAGTGCAGAGTCATGTGGATCGGAAGACCTGAGAACTAAGTCAACTGCCTTTTATGGGAGATCTTTGTTTCAAGGTATTGAATATTCTTTTTCCTATCACATCGTTACTTACCTTATTCCTTGTTCTGTAAATGGTGTTGACCCACAAACGCAGATGAGAGCTTTGGATTTGTCTAAACTTCTTTTCAAAAATTCAGAAAGAAGGGCTTGTGAAATGTGTCCTTGTTTACCATTCCATTCAGAAGTAGGTGCTGACAGGACAAATTCAACCTCAAATCTAGAGAAAAGAAACTTTTTTTAAAAACCTATTATTCAGACATGTTATTAACATGTTACAAGTTCACTAAAACATTTTCTATTTTCCTCCTCAAAAACAACTTAATAAGTAAAGATTGATATACTTGCTAAAAATGTAGTGGAACAGATCATAAGCAAAGGTTTAACAAAAACATACAGGTAAATCCATACTTATTAAGGATTAGTTTTTGCTACAGATAAGAAGAGTAATTTGGCATTTTATTTACTGACCTCCATTAAGGGATCTCAGAGAACTCATTTCTATTGATAATCTGTATATATAAATTGCAGTAAAGGGCAATTACCAGTGTCAAGTGCATGTTCATCTCTGACTCAAATGTCTCCAATGAGTTCAAGCCCCTAACAACCAATTTTGACTGATTTCCTATACTATTGCTGCCTCAACATCCTCAACCTCAACTTAAGATCTCCCACCCCACACCTGATGTGATCTTTGTGGATGGCACCATGGTTCACTTGGCTGCAAAAGCCAGAAGCCTGGGACTTACCCTGGGGACCTCTCTCTGCTTCATGCCTCATGTTCACATTTATACTTCCACCAACTATGGCTGTAGTTTCCAGCCACGTGTCTACTTCTCTGTCTTCACCGCCACAATGCTGCCTCTTCTCTTTCTTCTCTCTGTAATGCTCCTACCATAACCCATTTGTCATTCAGCTTGAGCATCACTTCCACAGGAGGGAGGCACTCTGGCCCACCAGTCTGTGGTTTTTTGTTATATATATTACAGAAGTGTTTTCCTTTTCCTTTTCTTCAAAGCCCTTACTTCAGATTGTAAATATGTGGTCACCAAGATGATTAATTCATTAATGTCTACCTTCCCCACTAGACCATAAACTCTAAGGCAGCAGGGACCACAGTCGCTGTGACTGTCACTGCATCCCTAGTGGCCACCACACAGGAGGTACTCAGATGCATGGGAGGAAATAGGGAAGAAATAGAAGGGACACGGAATCAAAATGAGAAACAAGAATATCAAACTAAGTCTCACGATGTAACTGTAGGCCTTTTCTTCCCATGGCTTTGTAGCCTGCTATGAGAGCTGCTGGTGAAGAGCCACAGTAAATTCAAAATTCTATGTTGTGCTTGCTTCCTTTAGCCCACTGTAGTAAACACAATGAATTCTTACCATTTTCAGTAGCACCAGATCAAATGCATTTCTACGTTTTCCGAGCATAAATGAGATATTTTCTCAAGAGTAGCAGGAACTAATTATACATTAATCTCAGTGTTAAGAAAAAGTAGAAGTGAACAGTGTCTCTTGTGAGGGAGTTTGGGGGGCCAAATATCAAAACAAAAACAAGATGTGTTGCTGGTGCAGCTGCTCTGACATCACTGGGCTGCAGCTTTATTAAGGTTCCTAAGAACTCACTGGCCCAAAGCAGACCAACTAAGAGTGCCAGCTGAGTGCTAGAGAATCAGCCCCAGCTCTCATCTAGACCTCAGCCTGTAGGTCTATTTGCCCATCTGTGGAACAGTGGGAAAACTACACAATCTATTATAATCCTAATATACTGATTTTATATTTAAAAACCCTCTAGAGTTATATTTTATTTCTTACTGTGAGACTAAATTCCCATTTAGTCTCAGTAGCAATATTAATCTACTGAGCTATATAAAACAGCTTCTCCAAACACTTTCTTTCACTAACTTATTTTTTCTTTCCTATCACTTAAAATTAAGGTAGTTTTAGACAACTCTAGAATGTGGTATTTGCTTACTGCTCCATGAGGGCAGGGTCCTAGTCTGTCCTGCCCGATACTGTCTCCAGGCCTGGCTTGAGGTAAGTATGCAAAAATAAATACTTTGTGAAGGAATAAAGGAAGCTATACTGACTAAAAATAAAAATTTTATTTTAGAAGAACTAAGCCATATGCTGGCATCTATGAAATTATACGTAACAATGTGTGTGAATCTGTAAGTGCACTATTCTGGGAAGGTCTGTAACTTTTCACTGGATTATAAAAGTGAAAAGCTGCTACAGAAAAACTATTTTAAGAAATTCCCAATTTTACATAGACAATTAGATAAAAGATAGCAAATTACTTGTTCAATTAAAAATAAAAGTGTCCTTCAGCTGTATTTCCAACAAGCCTATTACTGGAATAAAATTGCTGAGATATATAAATCAATAGTGGCATCCCTGTCATCCAGAAATAATAATAATTTTCCTTTGCTGAGATGCTTAAAAAAATGCAGTCAGTGGCATACTTTCTGCAGGTATCTACTAAAGGGTGAGACCCTTACATAAATGGTTTAAAGTAACTGAGACCCTTACATAATGGTGTAAACTTCACATGCATTTTACATTTTATTCATATAATGGTCCCTTAGCTATAACTTAAGGGCACTCAATAGAAAACATGAACAGTAACTTGGATGCAATTTTTAAGGATATAGTAAAGAGGTTGCTGTTTATCATCTTAATGGGACAAGAAAAGAGCTTAAACGGAAGCAGGAGCAAAACCAAGTGAAGACTCAAGAATACCACATCAAGATAGAGATGGTTACTGTGGAATCTTCTCTTCTGTATTTTTTGCAATGAAGGCCAACTCACTGTCTGAAACAATTATAGCCTTGAGTTATGAGAGGGCACAATGGCAAATGTCCTGAAATTCATTTCTACCCTATGATCTCAAAAGTGCAAGGAATAGGACTCTTAAAAAAAGATTAACTGAAATACATTTACATAATCCACAAAGCACAAAGCAAAACAGAGAGAGAAAAGAGGCCTCTTCCCGATGAGTGCTCACGCAGTCTGAATCACAATGGAAGTAAATAAACTTGTCACAAAAAATTATGTGAATGTAGATTGATAATGATCTGACATGAAAAATCTTGAAATATAAATGTATTCATTCAGTCTAAATCCTATGTGGAGCCTGCAGTCACCCAGCAACTCACCCCCTCCTCCTCCAGCCAGTCAGCTTCCAAAACCTACATCCCTCTATATTTCCTATATGTGTGACCTACCTTCCCATTTTTATCACCACAACTCCAGTTCAGGTTTTTATATCTCATTAAAATACTGCCCTAATACCCTTAGCCCTAAATCTATCTGACACATCATTGCTATATTAGTTCTCTTAAAAACCCAGCCTCAATCTTATATATATTTTCTGCTTAATAAGTATCAGTGGTTTGTCACTGTCCAGAGAAGAGTATTTCAGAATATTGGGGCCTCCACTTTTCCCCGTGTCTCTACATAAAAATACTAGAACAGTAGGAAAAGTTTCCATTTGCTCATGGGAAAAGTAACTCACAAAATAAGCAGCCACAGGTTAAAATTTGAGAAAATATACATATTATGGAAACATTTCTCAAAATGAATCTGATGAAACACTAGTGTTCCTCCAGGTGCTAGTGGTAATCCATGAAAAAAGGTTAACCTATTAAATAAATTTGGTTAAGAACAGCTATATAGATTTCCTCAGAATTTCTCAAAGCCTTGAATATGCTTAATTCATAGCAATCTTCAAGAAGATAATATAGTACACACTGCTTCTCACTTATTTAATCATAGATCCCTTTGGGGGAGAACACATGAACACTTCAGGAACACATTCCAAGAAACACACCATTTGAGGAACAGCTGAAAAGAACGAAGTTGTGAAAGGGTCCTGAGTAGGGGCCCACATACCTTGAGTGCATCACGGGCTGGGAAAAAGCAAAGGGGTTCAGGCATACTGTTCAATTTACTTATGCTTCTGGACTCATCAGCTTTGCTATCTTAAATGGAACTAATGTATTTTTGGTCCCAACACCGACACCAGAGTACAGAAACATAGTCAGAATCTACAGAGCCTGTCAGTAAAACAGGAGATGAGGAGCCCAGTGTGGTTCAGCCTTCCCTTGTCCATATAGTACATGCTTCTTTCATGTATGAATTATACTCAAGGTCTGCCATTGCCTGATTTTAGCCTATACTGTTTCTTCTACTGTAAAGCAAGAGGAGTAGAAGTGATCACTATTAAGATTCCTTCTGATATGGATATAAGGTTTAATGGTTACTTTTACAGTTATTTCACATTGTTCTCCTTCATATTCTGTATGTACTTCAACAAAACTGGACTCTCCTCTTTTGCTAAAACACTCCAAATACTGACCCAAAAAAGCTAACTTTTTTCTTGTTTAAATTTTATACTTAATGACATGAAAACTGGATAGAAGTAGAAATATCCCCCCCAAATACTTACGGCATTACCTGTTTTTTGCAGTTCTATTAAGGTTAGCAATGTGGTAAATGAAGAGATACATTCCCTGGACTGCATGAGGAAATGAGCCAGCACAGTATTTTGGTCAATGTTGTACTCTTGTATACAGGCACATGGTAGAAGCGCACATGTATTTCATGAAAGAATGAATGCTACAAATATGCTAATTCTGGAGTAGACACCTTACATATATACCATCTCACTGACCCCCTTCTGAAATAATTTTATGTTCCTGTTATACAGATGGAAAAACTGGGGCTCAGTCAGATCCAAGGTCACAAGGTTAGTAAGTTTCCATTATACAATGATGTTTCCAAGAATTTCATCTGCTGATGGTATTATCTTGATGAACTCTGAGGGCAAGCACAGCAGGCTTGATGGAACGAAAAGACCAGGTCACACGCCAGCGCCAGCCTCATCATGCACCCCCTATTCCTCCTTGTCCCACAGAGGGTTGAGCAGAAGGCTGAGAACTAATCCTACAAAGAGTAGGGCATTTCACTTACTCTAACTACAGTATTTAAGAGAATTAAAAAAAATATTCACAATCCAGTAGTAATTCAGCCAGGGAGATGTGTCCAGGTATCATAAACTTTATTACTAAAACTAGAAGTGATATAGGAAAGTCAAGATGTAAGAAAGATGTACCCCTATGTTTATTGCTGCACTATTTACAATAGCCAAGATATGGAAGCAACCTAAGTGTCCATCAGTAGATGAATGGATAAAGAAGATGTGGTACATATTATACACAATGGCATATTACTCAGCCATAAGAAAAAAACAGATCCTACCATTCGCAACAACATGGATGGAGCTACAGGGTATTATGCTCAGTGAAATAAGCCAGGCGGAGAAAGACAAGTACCAAAAGATTTCACTCATATGTGGAGTATAAGAACAAAGGAAAACTGAAGGAACAAAACAGCAGCAGAATCACAGAACCCAAGAATGGACCAACAGTTACCAAAGGGAAAGGGACTGGAAAGGATGGGTGGGAAGGGAGGGATAAGGGTGAGGAAAAAGAAAGGGGGCATAATGATTAGAATGTATAGTGGGGGGGCATGGGGAGGGCTGTGCAGCACAGAGAAGACAAGTAGTTATTTTACAGCATCTTACTACGCTGATGGACAGTGACTGAAGGGGTTTGTGGGGGGGACTTGGTGAAGGGGGGAGCCTAGTAAACATAATGTCTTTCATGTAATTGTAGATTAATGATACCAAAAAAAAAAAGATGTAAGAAAGCGTGATTTAATATACTAAAAAACACCCTTAAATGCCAAGCAAAATACAAATGTGACTAATTAAAATTACCTTATACTAAATCTGAACTTTTACTTTCCTTTTATGTATGAGACTCAACCATCAACAGTACTACACAACCTACTGAGAAGCCTTTAAGACTAGGTTTCTCCAGCACCTTCACAAAGACTCAGGATATGGTAAAATTTCCGAGAGCTATTCCAAAGCAATCTACATAAGCACAGCCTTTTGGTTTTCCAGTGAAGGCCTGATCAGGAGTCTCCCAGGGGCATGATTTATACAATTCTAGAAGTCAGTGCCAATAGGGTGCCTGCAGCAGGATAAATGTCTCCAGAAAGAGGAAAAGAAAGGGTTAGAGAGGAGTGAGAGAGAGAGAGAGAGAGAGAGAGAGAGAGAGAGAGAGAGAGAGAGAGAGAGAGAGAGAGAGAGAGTGAGAGAGAGCGTGAGAAGGGAAGGGGAAGATGGGGGGGGGAGAGAGGGAGGGGGAGAGAGGGAAGGGGAGGTGGGGGGGAGGGAATGGCGGGAGAGAGAGCCAGTGAGCAGAGGCGCAAGCAGGTGCCAGCAAGGAGAGAGAGGGGGCAGGAGCGGGAGGATGGAGGCAGGCCACTGCCATTTCTCTCAGCAAGCTGGGCAGTGATCACTCTCCTGTGAGTGCTGTTAGAGCCAGTCATCCAGAAGTGAAAAAAAGGGGCCTTTCCTCATCCTCAATACTCCAGCCTATGCAATTCCAAAAACCCAAATTATGTAGACCAAAACAAAACAAACAAAATATGCTTTATGTTCAGAGACCAGCAATACATTCCTTTTTAGCAACTACTTCTTAAATCAAGCTTGACTCCTATCAATAGACTAAAAGCACAATGTTCACTGAAATAATAGTACATGGAATTTTTTTTTTTGTACAAGGAAACTCTCAAAGAATACCTTTGTCAAAAACTGACAAATACTTAAAAAAAAAAAAACCTAGTTAAAAAAGCCTACCTATGCTGGTTAAATTCTTTTAAATGTTTGTTTAGAAAAATAGCAGCTCAAAGTTAATATGGAAATGAAACACATGTATGTACAGGTCCTCTATAACCACAATTCAAATATCTGAGGTAGGGCTTCACAGTTTCCAAAGCACTTATACTATCTCCAATCTTCACAAATGCCTCGTGAAGTAAAAGGAAAGATGCCATTAGTTTATTTTGAAGGTGAAGAGCCAGGCCCATAAAGCTAAGTAATTTTTGAATAAAGTTTCAAGCTAGTGATGGTAGAATGAAACTAGAATTTAGGTTTCAATTAAACAATGCATAATGTTCAATTAAACAATGCATAAGAATTTAGGTCTTTAGGTTTTTCAATAAATGCTGCTTCTACTTTTCCACTCTAAAATAGTGAAAAAGACACTTGAAAACCTAGGAATTTATATTTCATTAAATTAGGCTCTAAACTGCCATATAACAACCTAAATATAGCAAATGCTTTAGATTTATATTTTAAGAATGTAACAGGAGTACATACTTCGAGGATAAATAAGTTCAGGTCCCCTTTGATTTGTGGAAGTCCTTTATAGAAAGAGAAAGAAGAGGAGGATGGGAGACAACAGGGAGAAAAACTAGAAGAGGCCACAGCATCACTGGCATAGATACTCAGAGGAACCCAGAGCTCCTGGGACAACTGGGTTTCTGGGCTTTGGGACTCTCCAAAAAGGCTTAGAACTTGATACCGTACTAGTATTAATGTAAATATCTACTTCACATAATTTCTTAGAAATAGCTTTTGATGACTATGGAACTGCTTTAGAAAGTATGACAGCTTGTCCATTTCAATTTTTTCCTAAAAAATGCATTTAGAATTTCCTACTGCTTTCAAATACCTTTAGGGGAGATAGGGTATGCACTCATTTAAATTATCTTCCTTTTTCAGCTGACAGCACTAGGGCTCTTTTTTCAGTGCAAAGGATTTGTACTTTGCTCTCCTTGCTGCCTCATTCTACCACTGAGCTCAGTCTGACTCAAACTTTTTTCTACCAGCGTTTCCCAGAGTACTGTTGTACAGGAGATCACTAGTGATACAGCAATTAATAAGTATTAATGTAAACAAAAATTGAAAAAATATTGCTGAACAATGCATAAGGCAGCCCCATCTTGGAAAGTCACAATGGTTGTTAAAGGTTCTAAGAAATCTGGTAGTAAATATGTTTTTGCTTAATCCATTCTCACCAAACTGATTTGGTCTGTCCCCATTATAACAAGAAAATCTTGAATTACCAAATTGGCTATAGTGGATCATTTTCAGTGAAATCAAACTTGGTATAAATAATGTAACATAAATATAAAGCTCAGTATATATTTTATTGATACATGTATTATGTCACATTGATCTTACCAAATAGTATTTCTTTGGGGGAGGGTTATTAACATTATTTACATTCTAGAGAGTTATCGATTAGTTTATTTTTTCTTTGAAAGAACTTCTTGGTCAAATAAAGACTCCAGTCAAAGGAAATAAGGCATAGACTGACTACACATATATGGATACTTAAATACAGAGCTAATACGAGTTTAATACCTTTTATCCTTAAATGCTAATTTCTCCAGTTGACTTCTCCAAATTATATCGTCCTCTGTTTTATTGAAGAACATCAGCTTCACCTTCCTTAAAAGAAAACAACAACTCAAAAAGAACTATTTCAAGTACATTTAAGATATGCATGAACAGAAAGTCTAATAGGGAGCTGCCATGACTATGTTTAGTGCAAAGAAGGTGACCAAAAGTATCAAACTAAAAGAATAAAGTTAATAAAAGAACTAGAACTGGAGGAGGAAGAGTAAATGATGAATACGAAAATGAGAACATGTCTATTAAGATCCACTATTTAATTAATTTAGAATATTGAATTAATTTAGAAAACCTTATATTAATCTAACAGCCTCACAAAGGATAGTGATCAAGATAAAATTACATACCTGAGACTGGGTATATTAGTCAAAGCATAATTCAGTATTTTAACCATTGGTGTGAAGCCTGTTCCAGCAGCCAATAAAAAGAGATCTTCTAATTCTTGGAACCGGGATATTTTTAAATTGCCCTCAGGGTTGCTTACAGAAACAAAATTTCCTAAACAATGAAATATAAACTGTATCAGAAAAAAAAATCAGGGAAACTGAGAAGGTTAAAAAGTTAAGAAAGGATGAATGCTTAACTTTCAGACTATATCTCAGTCTTTATGGTATGTAAGCAGTGTTAGCAATACTCACTAAGCTTCCAAGTATGCCTAGATTATATCACTATAATCAAATTAATAATGAGGTTTTATTACGCTCATCTCCCAAAGCATCTGGAGTCTCTTACAAACTACTGCCAAGTATTTAAACACAAATTATCAATAAAGGGTTAATCACTAAATCAATCATAAACACCTCAAAAGCAGAGTCTGTGTATATACCTGCCTTGCATGGTACAGTGTGGAGAATATATATTCACTACTTACATATTGATTCTTAACCACAGTAACATGACTATAGAGGAGAAAATTAAAATAGAAATGTATTCTAAAAATCTTATGTTAAAAAATGCACTAATTTTGCCTCCATCAAATCTTTGAGAAGACCTACTGATTAAAACAAGAGCTGTTCTGAATTTAATTCCTGTAAAAACAAAGTGAGGCCAAAAACTACTTGTAAATACTCTGGTTTGTTTGTTGATTTACTTATATGGTGCAATCTTTCTTTTTTTTTGGTATCATTAATCTACAATTACATGAGGAATATTATGTTTACTAGACTCCCCCCATCACCAAGTCCCCCCCACATACACTATTACAGTCTCTGTCCATCAGCATAGTAAGATGCTATAGAGTCACTACTTGTCTTCTCTGTGTTGTACAGCCCTCCCCGTGCCCCCCTCATTATACATGCTAATCATAATGCCCCCTTTCTTTTTCCCCCCTCTTTATCCCTCCCTTCCCTCCCATCCTCCCCAGTCCCTTTCCCTTTGGTAACTGTTAGTCCATTCTTGGGTTCTGTGAGTCTGCTGCTGTTTTGCTCCTTCAGTTTTTCTTGGTAAATACTCTTGCTCTTTTCAGTTCTTCAGTAAATACTTGGCAGTAGTTTGTAAGCTTTGTTCTTATACTGCACAGATGAGTGAAATCATTTGATACTTGTCTTTCTCCATCCTGTTTATTTCACTGAGAATAATACCCTCTAGGTTCACCCATGTTGTTGCAAATGGTAGGATTTGTTTTCTTCTTATGGCTGAATAATATTCCATTGTGTATTATGTACCACATCTTCTTTATCCATTCATCTACTGATGGACACTTAGGTTGCTTCCATTTCTTGGCTATTGTAAATAGTGCTGCGATAAACATAGGGGTGCATCTGTCTTTTTCAAACTGGGCTGCTGCATTCTTAAGGTAAATTCCCAGAAGTGGAATTCCTGGGTCAAATGGTATGTCTATTTTGAGCTTTCTGAGGAATCTCCATACTGCTTTCCACAATGTTTGAACTAATTTACATTCCCCCCAGCAGTGTAGGAGGGTTCCCATTTCTCCACAACCTCGCCAACATTTGTTGTTGTTTGTCTTTTGGATGGCAGCTATCCTTACTGGTGTGAGGTGATACCTCATTGTAGTTTTAATTTGCATTTCTCTGATAATTAGCGATGTGGAGCATCTTTTCATGTGTCTGTTGGCCATCTGTATTTCTTTTTTGGAGAACTGTCTGTTCAGTTCCTCTGCCCATTTTTTAATTGGGTTATTTGTTTTTTGTTTGTTGAGGCGTGTGAGCTCTTTATATATTCTGGACGTCAAGCCTTTATCGGATCTGTCATTTTCAAATATATTCTCCCATACTGTAGGGTTCCTTTTTGTTCTATTGATGGTGTCTTTCGCTGTACAGAAGCTTTTCAGCTTAATGTAGTCCCACTTGCTCATTTTTGCTGTTGTTTTCCTTGCCCGGGGAGATATGTTCAAGAAGAGATCACTCATGTTTATGTCTAAGAGGTTTTTGCCTATGTTTTTTTCCAAGAGTTTAATGGTTTCATGACTTACATTCAGGTCTTTGATCCATTTTGAGTTTACCTTTGTATATGGGGTTAGACAATGGTCCAGTTTCATTCTCCTACATGTAGCTGTCCAGTTTTGCCAGCACCATCTGTTGAAGAGACTGTCATTTTGCCATTGTATGTCCATGGCTCCTTTATCAAATATTAATTGACCATATATGTTTGGGTTAATTTCTGGGGTCTCTAATCTGTTCCACTGGTCTGTGGCTCTGTTCTTGTGCCAGTACCAAATTGTCTTGATTACTATGGCTTTGTAGTAGAGCTTGAAGTTGGGGAGTGAGATCCCCCCTACTTTATTCTTCTTTTTCAGGATTGCTTTGGCTATTCGGGGTCTTTGGTGTTTCCATATGAATTTTTGAATTATTTGTTCCAATTCATTGAAGAATGTTGCTGGTAATTTGAGAGGGATTGCATCAAATCTGTATATTGCTTTGGGCAGGATGGCCATTTTGACGATATTAATTCTTCCTAGCCATGAGCATGGGATGAGTTTCCATTTATTAGTGTCCCCTTTAATTTCTCTTAAGAGTGACTTGTAGTTTTCAGAGTATAAGTCTTTCACTTCTTTGGTTAGGTTTATTCCTAGGTATTTTATTCTTTTTGATGCAATGGTGAATGGAATTGTTTTCCTGATTTCTCTTTCTATTGATTCGTTGTTAGTGTATAGGAAAGCTACAGATTTCTGTGTGTTAATTTTGTATCCTGCAACTTTGCTGTATTCCGATATCAGTTCTAGTAGTTTTGGAGTGGAGTCTTTAGGGTTTTTTATGTACAGTATCATATCATCTGCAAATAGTGACAGTTTAACTTCTTCTTTACCAATCTGGATTCCTTGTATTTCTTTGTTTTGTCTGATTGCCGTGGCTAGGACCTCCAGTACTATGTTAAATAACAGTGGGGAGAGTGGGCATCCCTGTCTTGTTCCCGATCTTAGAGGAAAAGCTTTCAGCTTCTCACTGTTAAGTATGATGTTGGCTGTGGGTTTGTCATATATGGCCTTTATTATGTTGAGGTACTTGTCCTCTATACCCATTTTGTTGAGAGCTGTTATCGTGAGTGGACGTTGAATTTTGTCAAATGCTTTTTCTGCATCTATGGAGATTGATCATGTGGTTTTTATCCTTCTTTTTGTTGATGTGGTGGATGATGTTAATGGATTTTCAAATCTTGTACCATTCTTGCATCCCTGGGATGAATCCCACTTGGTCGTGGTGTATGATCTTCTCAATGTATTTTTGAAATCAGTTTGCTAATATTTTGTTGAGTATTTTTGCATCAATGTTCATCAGGGATACTGGTCTGTAATTTTCTTTTTTGGTGGGGTCTTTGCCTGGGTTTGGTATTAGAGTGATCCTGGCTTCATAGAATGAGTCTGGAAGTATTCCCTCCTCTTCTATTTTTTGGAAAGCTTTAAGGAGAATGGTTATTATGTCTTCTCTATATGTTTGATAAAATTCTGCAGTAAAGCCATCTGGCCCTGGGGTTTTGTTCTTGGGTAGTTTTTTGATTACTGGTTCAATTTCATTGCTGGTAATTGGTCTACTCAGATTTTCAGTTTCTTCCTTGGTCAGCCTTGGAAGGTTGTATTTTTCTGGGAAGTTGTCCATTTCTTCTGGGTTTTCCAGTTTGTTAGCATATAGATTCTCATAGTATTCTCTAATTATTCTTTGTATTTCTGTGGGGTCCGTTGTGATTTTTCCTTTCTTATTTCTGATCCTGTTGATGTGTGTAGATTCTCTTTTTCTCTTAATAAGCCTGGCTAGGGGCTTATCTATTTTGTTTATTTTCTCAAAGAACCAGTGCTTGGTTTCATTGATTTTTTCTACTGTTTTATTCTTCTCAATTTTACTTATTTCTTCTCTGACTTTTATTATGTCCCTCCTTCTGCTGCCTTTGGGCTTCGTTTGTTCTTCTTTTTCAAATCTCAATAATTGTGACTTTAGACTATGCATTTGGGATTGTTCTTCCTTCTTTAAATAAGCCTGGATTGCTATATACTTTCCTCTTAGAATTGCCTTCGCTGCATCCCACAGAAGCTGGGGCTTTGTGCTGTTGCTGTCATTTGCCTCCACATATTGCTTGATCTCTATTTTAATTTGGTCATTGATCCATTGATTATTTAAGAGCATGCTGTTAAGCCTCCATGTGTTTGTGAGCCTTTTTGTATTCTTTGTACAGTTTATTTCTAGTTTTATATCTTTGTGGTCTAAGAAGTTGGTTGGTAGAATTTCAATCATTTGGAATTTACTGAGTCTCTTTTTGTGGCCTAGTATGTCGTCTACTTTGGAAAATGTTCCATGTGCACTTTAGAAGAATGTGTATCCTGCTGCTTTTGGGTGTAGAGTTCTGTAGATGTCTATTAGGTTCATCTGCCTCTGTGTCCTTACTTACTTTCTGTCTTGTGGATCTGTCCTTTGAAGTGAGTGGTGTGTTGACATCTCCTAGAACGAATGCATTGCATTCTATTTCCTCCTTTAATTCTGTTAGTGTTTGTTTCACATATGTTGGTACTCCTGTATTGTGTGCATATGTATTTATAATCGTTATATCCTCTTGTTGGACTGAGCCCTTTATCATTATGTAGTGTCCTTCTTTATCTCTTGTGACTTTCTTTGTTTTGAAGTCTATTTTGTCTGATACAAGTACTGCAACACCTCCTTTATTCTCCCTATTGTTTGCATGAAATATCTTTTTCCATCCCTTGACTTTTAGTCTGTGTGTGTCTTTGTGTTTGAGGTGAGTGTCTTGTAAGCAGCATGTAGATGGGTCTTGCTTTTTCATCCATTCTATTACTCTGTGTCTTTTGATTGGTGCATTCAGTCCATTTTACATTTAGAGTGATTGAAAGATATGTACTTATTGCCATTGCAGGCTTTAGATTCGTGGTTACCAAAGGTTCAAGGGCAGCTTCTTTTCTACCTAATGGTCTAACTTAACTCACTTATTACGCTATTATAAACACAGTCTGATGATTCTTTATTTCTCTCCATTCTTATTCCTCTTCTTCCATTCTTTATATGTTAGGTGTTTTAATCTGTACTCTTTTGTGTTTCCTTTGACTGCTTTTGTGGGTAGTTGATTTTATTTTTTGCCTTTAGTTAGTATTTGGTTGGTCCGCTTTCTTTGCTGTGATTTTATTTTCTGTGGTGACATCTATTTAGTCTTAGGAGTGCTCCCATCTAGAGCAGTCCCTCTAAAATACCCTGTAGAGATGGTTTGGTTTGTGGGAGGAAATTCCCTCAACTTTTGCTTGTCTGGGAATTGTTTAATCCTTCCTTCATATTTAAATGATAATCATGCTGGATACAGTATTCTTGGTTCAAGGCCCTTCTGTTTCATTGCATTAAATATATCATGCCATTCTCTTCTGGCCTGTAAGGTTTCTGTTGAGAAGTCTGATGATAGCCTGATGGGTTTTCCTTTGTAGATGACCTTTTTTCTCTCTCTGGCTGCCTTTATAACTCTATCCTTGTCCTTGATCTTTGCCATTTTAATTATTATGTGTCTTGGTGTTGTCCTCTTTTGGTTCCATCTCTCAGGAGTTCTGTGTGCCTCCGTAGTCTGAGCAACTATTTCCTCCCCCAGTTTGGGGAAGTTCTCAGCAATTATTTCTTCAAAGACACTTTCTATCCCTTTTCTCTCTCTTCTTCTTCTGGTGCCCCTATAATACGAATATTGTTTCGTCTGGATTGGTCACACAGTTCTCTTAATATTCTGTCATTCATGGAGATCCTTTTATCTCTGCCTCAGACTCTCTGTGTTCCTTTTCTCTGATTTCTATTCCATTAACAGTCTCTTGCACCTCATCTTAAGTCTGCTCTTAAGTCCTTCCTGAGATTGTTTTATTTCTGTAATCTCCCTGTCAACCTCATCCTTTAGCTCTTGCATATTTCTCTACAAGTCCATCAGCATGGTTATGACCTTTATTTTGAATTCTTTTTCAGGAAGACTGGTTAAATATATCTCCCCAGGCCCCCTCTCAGGGATTGTCTGGGTGATTCTTGATGGGACCAAATTTCTTTGCCTTTTCATGGTGATAGAGGTAGTTGGAGGCAGGTAGTGCGTGTGTTAGCTGGGAGAACAAAGTCCCTTCCTGCTTGCTGGTTGCCCTGCCCTTTTCCACTGCCTGTGCCAGTTACCCGCACACTGAGAGCAGGCTCTGGGTTAATTTCCTGAGCCATGGCGAGCAGGGCAGCCCAGAGCCCTGTGGGGAGACGCAGGCATGCCGGCTGTGCTCTCCTGCGAGAACAGCGCCCCTCTGCACTTTGCCCCGGCTTCCTCTGCCTGCGCTGGGCAGCTGCACGCCGGGAGGAGGCTCTGGGTGGCTGCTGCGGGTGCGGCTGCTCCCAGGCTGCTCTGCTGGGGCCGCGCAGGAAGGGGAATGAACAGCAGGCTGTTTATCGCTGTGAGGAGCTTTGGAGCTGCGCTGCCTCCCAGGGATTGGGGTGCCTGGAGTTCCCCGGGATTCCCAGCTGCTGGGCTGAGTGTGCTGGGACGATTCTGTCCAACTGTGAGGCCCCTGTCCCTTTAAGACTTTCAAAAAGCACTCACTTTTATTTTGTCCCAGGGGAGCCAGCTGCGGGCTCCGCTTGCAGATATTACTGTCCCGTTTCCCTAATATCCAGCACACCATGCACTGTATGTCTGCACTCCCAGTGCGAATGGCTAGGGCTGGGTATTTAGCAGTCCTGGGATTCCACTCCCTCCCCACTCTGACTCCTTTCCTCCCACCAGGGAGCTGGGTTTGGGGAGTGCTCGGATCCTGCTGGGCCGGGGCTTGTATCTTACCCCCTTCATGAGATGCCGAGTTCTCGCAGCTGTAGATGTAACCTGGCTGTTGTACTGTATCCACTGGTCTCTCTGTTAGGCATTGTTTTTGTTGTATTTTCAAAAATATACATGGTTTTGGGAGGAGATTTCCGCTGCCCTACTCACGCCGCCATCTTCCCAAAATCCTAGTTTATTTTTAAATGCTTGGATGCTCGTAATTTTTCCTTTCTCATCTATAGCAGAATAGTACGTATATTGCAGTGATTCATCAATTAAGTACTGAAAGTAACAGACACTCTCAGCTGTAGTCTGAAAGGGACCATAAGATCAGAATAGCCTCAGGAAAGAGCAAGCTGGTTGTTCATTAAAGGAGACCCACAGAATGATGTTAACTTGATAACTTTTGCCCACAGTCCAGTTCCTCCAGTGTCATAATAAAATTAATGAGACTCAAGCAAGGTACCCGATGCTAATCAAATTCACAAGAGATTAAAGTCCACATGTCATGATGTCAACCGACTAACAGCCAGGCTATCTGCACCTAGTGAGCATTACGTGATCTATCCAGAGCATTTTACTGCCTGCGTCAGGACATCTAGAAGGCCAAAATTATCATAAAGTTGCTTGGTGAGCATGAAATTAAAACAAAGAAGTGGGTATTTTTACAGGGTAGCTCATTTAGGCCAAGATGAGGTCTCATGAGTTATCACACACCAGGGCATAATCCTCTAAATGATACAAGTACTGGGGCCACGTCTAGTTCTCCTGAAGTTAAAAACACACTGATCTTGTTCTTCAGGCTTTCCTTTTTTATCCTCTATGCTAACTCTCCACCCTGCTCTGTTCGCACAATCCCCACAAATAGGCTATAATACTACTTAAGTTTCACGTCCTAAATTACAATCATGTATCAATCAGTCCATTGCAAGATGATAGTCACTGAATGAACTGGGTTTGAGGGTATTCAAAAATTCTTTAGGTTCACACATTTATATTTATTATTTTGGTTTATGCAACCAAAGATAACTGGTCATGTCCATCGTGTATAGATGGGTAAACTTAACTTTCAGAAAGCAACATGTTTTCTTTATTTCCAAATTTTAGTGATGTTTGTCACTGTTATCTTGATGTTCCTACCAATGCTGTCTTAGAAAGGGGAAGAACAGTTTTACCGTTACGCAAAGGCAGCAAAAAGTTGAAGACACAGAAAAAAGAGAAGAAACAGAAAGAGGCTCAAATCTTTTGATTTTACTGTAGTCTTCTAATAAACGCCTTCAAAGTACATTTAATGACAGCTTATTATGTGCCAACTGCTATGGTAGGTGTGGGAAATACAAAGAGAAGACAATCTCTTCCTCAAACTCAAGGTCATGTAAAGAGAGAATATTTTTATTCTTATGCTAGAGCTATGAACAAAGTGTTAGTTATTGGGGGGTGGGGGGTGCAGTCCAGAGAAGGAGGGAGGCTTCACAAAAGAAGTTACTGTGTCTTTAAAAAAAGGTACTTGACAGGTAGAGAAAAGATTTATGACCATCCTGTGAAGCAACTGCACATACTATTGATGACGATAACACACTTGTGAACTCTGAGTAGTACAAATATTTTGTATAGAAAGAGATGAATCTGGAGAGATCATGGCAGTTTTTACAGGCCATGCAGAGGACTTAATCAGTTAGGGAATGAAGACCCATCAGAGGTTTCAAAGCTTCAGAGCAACATGATTAAATCTATTCTCAGGGCAGGCTGGTGGAAGAACTAGAACATGCAGATAAAGAGACACCAGCCAGAGGCAACTGAGAGGGGGAGAGGTCAAATGAGACACGATGAAGGCCTGATCTTAGAGCAGGGCATGGGGGATAGAGAAGATCAAAAATCAGTGGGAGGTAGACTCCACAGAACTTAGGGGAGGACTGGATTGGGAAGGAGAAAATGGGAAGACTCCAGGATGACTCAAGTCTCCAGACTGGGTCAAGGACAAACAGTGATGCCGCAACTAAGGATGGGTTGGGTGCGAAAGAGAATATGATTTTGGCTGTAGACATGTTAACTGTAAGATATATGATCGACTCCCACATGGAGATAATCAGAGGACAGTATAACATGTGACCCAGTCTAGAACACAAATGAGGTTAAAAACAAAAACAAAACCAAAAATACTAACCAATTTGAAGATGATCAAGCTCTGGTGTGAAGAGTCCAGCAGGATAAATTTTGATCAGAAAGTAGATGTAATTATTGTTGGGAAGAGGTGGTTCCTTAAACTCTGAGATTAAGGAATCAGATACAGGTGTATATGGCTTCACAATTTCAGTACCTAAAAAAGTCATAACAAAGAAATTCAATTCTGAAACTCTAAAGCCCCAAATGAAGATGAAGCATACAATTTTCATGATGCTATCAGTATATATTTGAAACTGTATATCTAATGTATGTATAATTCTAAATGTATGTTCTACATCTATATATATATATATAACCAAACCTATGTATGCTGGAATAATTTTAACAAATCAATACTTTACCCATAATATAAACAATCTGTTTTTATTAAGTGTGGCATCAGATGATAGGGATTTCTAATAATAAATTTAGACAACCATCTACTCCATCAGCATATAAACTTTGCAATGGGATGCATCAAAAGTAAGAAGGTATTAACATAATTTTAATTATACATCACATTTTTAACAAGGCTACTGATAGCCAGTGGGATCATTTGAGTGTGAGAAAGAAAATTTCACTTTTTACTTAATATATTTTGAATTGTTTTAACATTTTAAAATATTATATATTACTTTGGTAACTGGAAGAAAAGAATGTTAATCCAACTACTTCCAAGACTATATTAAAAAATAGGATAAAATCCATAAGAATTCATGCTATATTTCAGCTAGGCAAATTCCAAAGAAAAGGAGTCACCACACATTTGGAAGATCTCCATTTTATACATGGTTCCTTGATATATACAAAATTAATCTATCTGTAAATTATAATACATTGACAATAACTGCACTGAGAAAGATACCAGCTATTGAATGACGATCTGGCATTAGTGATGACGAAGAGAAAGGTTGTAGTGCCATTGTAATACACTGTATTCACCACATCCTGGCTGGGAGTCTGTTAGACGGGTGCTGGGAACACTATGGCTGACATGAGAATGTTGCCTTCTGTAGATTCAAAAGGCCAAGAAAATGTTGGGCATTTAAAACAAGCAAATGAGGTAATTTTAGGGTGAAATGAGGAAAAAATAATTCATGCAGTGAGGAATATCTTTATAAAGCTGGTTATACTGGTGGCACATTATGAGGAAATCATTTATAATACACCCACTCATTTTGAATTCTATAAATTCTGCTTCACAAATGACATAAGCATAAGTGGCTACTGAGAGATACTAGTATATATTTCTAGTAGCTGTCCTCAGGAAAGAACGTTTGTGTCCTCCCTCACATCTCTGCTAGGAATACACTGCAGTGCTGGTATAACCCGCAGTGCTGGAATCTGCCTCACGGCAATGTCTGTGCTCCGTGTGGTGCTGTGGCACGGCTACAGCTCCAACATGGAGGAACACTGAGTCAACAAACCTAGATCTACCTATCACTAAATCTAGCTCCCCAGAAACATTTACTAATAACCTCCACAGTTACTTTCTAAAGGGATCTGTACTGATTTTGGACTGCAGATAAAAGAAAGTGCTGGCCCAAGCCTCTATTTCCCTTACCTGTGACAGTTAGTTTGAGGTAAACGTGTCGCCCAATCGGCACCTGAAGGTGAGTGCTTGGTGGCAGCAACCAGCAGAAAAGCTTTGTATCATGAGTGACATCCTCCTTGGAAATTAACTGGCACTTTCTGTAGTACAAATCTAGAGAATGATTCATTTTAATGTATTAATAAATAAGTAAAAAGTAATCTGAGACTCACTAGGCGAAAGCACAGACTCAGCTTTTGCTCTTCAGTGCATTTGAATTTCACTAAAATGCCTATAAATTTTTATAATTCATCGTATTATGAAAACCTTACAGTGTTAACTTTTTGCATTTTATTTCCTGAGATACCCATTTCCTAAAACCCATAAATACCCTTATAATTTGAAAAGCGAACTTTATAAAATGAGTTTTACTTCCTCATGTCTGTTACAACAGATGAAAACCATTACATTCTAAGACATTAAAACCTCATTTATTTCTCAACTTTTTAAATAATTCTATTTTTATATTTATATTTCAAGCCTTATATTAACAGCCATATAATTAAATTATAGATGTGAAAAATATTTGATAACCAACAAACTACACTCTGAATTCTTTTCTTACAGAATAAAGAAGTCCTAAAACTCAATTACTTAAGGTTTAACATTATTAGCACTATTAAATAATTTTAGAAATATTTCTTTGATAAATGCAGGAAAAACATTATTATGTCTTTCTGTTTGTGTATAGGTATTATACACTTACATAAACTGTAGAACAGTTTAACTGTCAAAAATGATTAAGACAAAAAATAAACTTTTAAGTTTAAGGGATAAGTTTTGATCTTTCTGGAAAATTAACTCAAATGAGAAACTAAAAATGCCAAGTTTGTGGTACTAATACACAAATAAACAAAAGGAATCAAGTATTTCTATGAATACTGGAAATATTTTAAATATCTCAAGTTTAGGAAATATTATTTATATACACACAAGAATAAAATAATACCATTTTGATTGAAAGAACATATTACAAAAGTTCTGAAAACATTAATATTTTTACTTGTAAATTCTCTTTGGGATGTAAGCAGCATATCAGAGTGAACTGATGATATTGGTGTGTTTTGTTACTTCCTCTCCTATAAAACAGCATTTACTGAGATGTAAAGGAATCAGCTCCAATAAAACATTTATCCTAATTATTCTCTTTTTTTTTAAACCTAAAAGTATTTAAGTAGGTACAGAAAGATTTATTACAAATCTTAGGATATGAAGGCCCAACATCTAATAATCAATGGTTAATTAATGGAAAACTGAAATTCACTAAGAATCCTAAGAAATCATTTTGTCTGATTTTATCCAATTTCTCTTCTTCCCTTGTCCCTTTTGGCCCCCAAATACCCAGTCACTAAATCTTTCCACCTGCTACTATGGTATCTCAGAATGCACATAAATTCAGAGTGCATCACTACACACCCAAATCAAGGGGCGTTAGTCAAGTCATCTCATTTTAGTGCCAGGGCATAGTGTGGACCAGATTTCAGCTAAGGGAACCACCCAAGGTTATCCTGGCAGACCTCATCCAGTATTAGACAGACACAGGATCAAAGACATAGGCTAACCCACAAGGAGAAATGAAGGTTCAAATGATCTTCTCCCTTCCCTTCTAGGACCCAGAGGAAACTACAATCAGAGGCCCACATACTTTATGTCTAAACATTTACAAGTCATTAATCAGATGGATAACTGTTACATAAAATATGTCCTATGCCATATCTTGAAATATAAATTCACAACCTTCTGGTAGGCTAGGTTCAAAATCAGGATTCTTAATCTCTTCAGAGTTCCATGCAGGAAAATGGCAGAGGGACGAGAGACTGGCGATGGCCTGCCAAGCTCTCTTCTCACCCCGGCTCTGTCTGACACTGGCTGAAGCCTTATGTGGGTGTGATCAAGCTCATCCACTTGCTCTCCCCAACAACAGCCCTGATCACTCCTTACATACAAATGGATTAGGGGCCCTTCGGGCAGGGTTCCAGGTACCAGGATTGCAGTGCTGAGGGAAAGGGGGTGAACTCCAGGGGGACATTTCCTGGTCTTGCACAGACCTCTCCCTGTTGATGCCGGGGTTCTTGTTCACGAAGCCAAAGAATGAGCTTCACAAACACTCAAGGTAGGAGAGCAAGGCTTTTATTTAGAGACCAAGGGAGAGGAAAGAGCTCCCGGCTCACGCCAGGAGGGAACAAGAGAGCCCGTAGTGGTGCGTTGTTTAGGGGGTTTTATAGGCAGTTGAGGATTTTTCGAGAACATGAAAAAACTTAGGGGTGTGGACTTCCATCACCTGCCCTGTCCTCAAGGTGGGCTGGGTCATAGTCTGATTGCCAGGGCTGACAGTGGAGTCACAGGTTATGCTGATACCCTTGCAGAACACTCAACATTCCAGGCCAAGATGCTCCTGGCCTTTTGACCTTTAACTGATCTTACTGAAGATGTCTATATCTTTTACCCTAGAGAATTAGTGTGACCTTGACTTTGCATAATGCTTAGCACAGACTTTCAATAGGGACTTCTTTGCCCATTGTTACATTGCTCTGACTGTAAATATTCCACCCTGCTTCTCCCCCCCCAACAGGCCCTCACCCTACTCTGACTACACCCATGGTCCCTGTCTCACTGTGTGGGGGCTGTGGCGGGAGGAAAGCCTGGTGGAGTTCTCCATGTGCGACAGCCAGGACAGGGGCACATTTGCCTGCACCAAGGGCCACAGTGCTTTCTTGCTATCAAATGCAGTACATGTTGTTCTAGCCACTTTGCTGCTGGATGAAGAGGTTCACCTTCTGACTTGACAATTTCACCTCTAACATTTGCCAGAAAGGATTTGCTACACTAAGAGCTATGCATCTCTTCAATTATACTTAAAACATAAAGAAACCATGGGTTACAGTGATTTACTGACTTTCCTTGTTAGTTAACACAGAATTCTTGCTACTTAACACCACAGAGATGTTTCAACATCTTACCTATAAAAGTCTGCCATAGTTTCAAAAGAACATCCTGGCTATAGGTTCTACATGTTTTAAGAAAAAGTTAATGTTTTCATCTCTCAAGTGCACTGAGGAGAGAGACATCACAGACAGACAGAACTGCAGCACATGAGGAAAGAGGGGTTCAAAGCAGATGTGCAACTATTCTAGTCTGGACAAGGCCATGCAGTGTCAGGTTTTTGGCTTTGTAAGTATACATAATATTCAAGAAAATGAGAAATTGAAAATAAATATAACATGGTGAAATAAAAATGTAAGGCAGAAAAATTTCTGCCCCCAAAACCTAATCTCTTTTAACAACATACATATATTATTACTTGGGGTAATACTGAAATACTGAGGATAATATAATAAATTTGGCCTAGATTTTCTTCTTTTTGAAAAGACATTATATTTTTTCCTTTGAACTTCACAAGACTAAAATATAGACAAAGTCCTCAGTGGCAGACAGAACAGAAAGCAAACAGTGGACTAGGAGTCTGCACTGCCTTCAATCTGGCCTTCAACTCCTACTTGAACTCAGTATACTTTTAAAGCACCTATCCACCCTTATTTCCCCTACTAGAACAGAAGCTTCAGAAGTTAAATAGCTGGCCTAGGGATTAGAGTTTCTTGCCCCAGGTCAGTGACCTTGTTCAAAAAGTCTAAGTTCCGGAGTAGCATATAGTTCCTTAGTGTTTTCCTTCTTGTTTTAACTATTTCAGTTCAAGCACAAATATTTATAGATTATCCTTTCACCCTTTACAATTCTCTAGTACTTTATGTTCAAATTAAGGAACCAGTTCAGCAAGTCAGGACTCATCCAGGTATATCCTTCTTGAGTATCCCCATTCTTTATTGTTGTGATCAACCGTATTTTTTCTTAGCAGTCTTTACTACTTTCAATTACCTAAATTTACTTACTTGCTAATTTGCAATCTATCTTTACTCACTTACTTCTCCATGATCTTCCTGAACCAACACAGAGCAACCAACCAGTTAGTGAGACTACACACCTAAAAATACAGTCTATGGAAAAGAAACAACTTAAAAACATGCAAACATCTATAATATTAAAAAATATATTGACATACATACCTAGTGATGCCTAAACATTAAGAAACACAACCTACAGCCATTCAATTCAATAGACATCCCATTTAGAGTCTGTTACAGTTCACCAAGTAGAGACCATGCTGATTTAGCCTTGATGACTGTCTATTTCTGCCAAGACAGTGACCTTAATGAGCAATGAACTTGCCTGCAGGGATGATGTTCAAAACACCTGGGTACAAACTATTTTCAAACACTGTACAGATGGTTAACATTTTGACTACTGATAAAATAATCCAAATTCACAAAACCATTAGAGTATCTTCCTATACTGAAGAAACAACAAAGTTTGAATTATATACTTTTAAAAGAATTACAAAACTGCAGTTATTTTGTTGTTTTAAAAAATTATTCAGCCTTTTCACTAATTTTTAATTAGACTGCCATCTAATCTCTGGTAGTATAGTTTTACTATCCTCATCCAAACCACTCTTGTATATATGAATAAGAATACAATCACAATATATTCAAACACTAGAGACACTAAATATCGATTCATATATTGCGGTAAAACATAATGAAGGAGAACGCTCAAAGACAGAGAATTTCCATATATGATTTTTAAGTTAGTATTATCAAGTTGACAGCTAAACACAGATTCCTTTCTGTTTTAGCTATTATTGTTAAAAATACTCCTAAAGGGTATTAAGATGTTTTACTACCTCAGCTAATGTGAACTGAATATTGCAAGGTGAGAAATCTGTAGAGTTAAACATTAGTGTTAAACTAGGAGAAAGGCAACTCTTCCCTTAAGTCTAGATTCAATGGGGCCTTAGACACAGCATTTAGCAAACTGTCACTAAATTTGAACATCTCCATACCTATCACCTTTCCTTTCATGTTCCGTAACTAATTCAGCCAACATTGTATACTGAAGTGCCTAAATCATCTGAACTCTAAGTTTTTAAACTTTTTCTATTATCTTTTAATAAAGTACATAGTTTCTTATTCAATTACAGTCTGCTCCACCTATTCTGTGTTTCCTCAGATTTCACGTTTGGGACATTCTGATAGAAATGAAAGTAAGATAGCAAGATGCCAAAGTTGTATAGTTACTGTGCAAGCAATAACTTTATACCTATTAGGTAGAGGAGGTAATTTAGAGATTAAAGCATAGTGAAAGTTTTATTTGCTATCCACAATACTTCTTCATTTCTAGTAATGGTGAATACTTATTTTAGGCAGCAAAGAAACATGGATACACACAGGCAAGGGTTTGGGAGAGGTGAGGATGGTTCTTTCTATACCTGTAAGAAGATCGGTCATTGTAAAAACAACCAAACTGCTTGCAGAATCACAAGCCCTACAATTAAATGACCATTTACAGTGTGTTGATAGACACATTTGCAAGTAGACAGTACCTCACTGTGTGTGTGTGTGTGTGTGTGTGTGTGTGTATGGTTTCACAGTTAAGAAGCTCTGATGAAAGTATATGTCAAACCATGCAAAACTACCAGTTTTCTATGTTAAAAATATTATTAGCAATTTCATACAGTTCAACTTAAAAAGACAGTTACAGATGACATTATTTAATTTAAAATTTATAAATTGCTACTGACATCAAAATTGTGACACAATTTTTTAAAAAACCTTGTTTACAATTTTATATTCCAAGACTCATTTACTGGGTTTTTTGTCAACAAGTTTTAAAAATACTTTTGTCTTGTGATCAGTCTCTCTACATTTCAGGCAATCGTAATTAAAATTAAATTTTAGTTTGGGTGCAGCGATAGTAGTAACCCAATTATCTTTTAGTTTCTGACCCTTAATAGACAATATCCTCAGCCATATCCACAACTCATACATACAAGTCATCCCTGGGGAGAAAAAAATAATTGGAAACATCCAACTTACAAATGGTAGTCTGGTTCCATTAATACAATTTAAAATAACACTCATTACATTTGGATTAAAGTTAAAAATGAAGTAGTTCCTCTTCTCTGATTATGTTCTTTATATATTTTAATTTTTCATGTAAGTAAACTCTAGATTCAACATGAGAAGGTATTGCATTAAATGTCTTCAACTTATGTTTATTTTCAAACTAAAATTCTTTTAGTTAAGAAATTTTAACAGAAACCAGCATGCTGATATCAGTAAGTCAATAATTCTATTAACACATACTAAAAACCTAGGAACCATTTGATGGACTACAAACATCTGAAGTTACTGACAGCAACTTATTTATAATACTCAGGATGTTAAGTATTCAGCTTTGCTAGCAAATAAAATAATATACAGTTTTAGTCATAATTTAAGGAGGGAAAGCACAAAGAAGAAATTATCTTTGCTAATTCAGTCAAATAAATAAAAATATCCCTGAAATTCTGAGTCATTTTCCAAAGTGAAAACCCTAGTTCACTGAAAGTAAATGTGTGGCTCCAATTACATCCAAGAAAGCTAAAGTTCACTTGTTAAAGCCATGGTGGTTCACGATTCAATCTGAGATTCATGGCAGGGACAAGAGTTCACCGAGAGCCTCAGGAAACCACAGAGAGATTTAAGCAGTGTTGATGCTAACAATTTCCAAATGGAGGTCAGCCCTGGTTTTGATTCTCAGTATCATTTATTTCTAGAACTTAGCTTTTATCTGGTTTGTATGATTTTTCAATTACTATATATAGATAATTTCAGGGCAAGAGATTTCACTTTTACCTCTTTCCATTTTTATTGTCTTCTCTCCTCTTTTGCTCTGCCAGATCACACTATTATTTCTCTATGTTCTTTCAGACCTCCTGCTCAGTAAAATTAATCTTTTTGACCTTTTCCTACTTATGGCTTTCATTTTTCTTTTTCTACAACCTGCAAAAATGCCTGGCACAAGTACCCAGTAACAATTTGAAGCTCTAGCTGGGAAACCCTCCATAGTTATTGTTGTTTCTGTTGTTTTGAAACATGATTTGAAATTCATCTACTGCAGCCATTCATTCAAGATCAAATTCGTCTGCATCTGCTCACTTGGGGTTACCTAAAAAATATATTAGTTTGTACTACATAACTTGCCCTGGTTGGTTTGTTTCTTTATAAAGAAGTATTCCTTAATATCATGTCAGTGTATGTTCCTCCTTTCACATGGGAAAATAACTTATGATGCCTTTTGCTTCATATCACAGTGTCCAAAATAGCCTTCTACACACAATGTGTACTTAAAATAAGGCTACCTGATACTTTTCTGAAATTAAAATATTACCCACAAGATAAAAACTCTCAACAAAGTGAGTACAGAGGGAGCACACCTCAACAGAGTAAAGACAATATATGACAAGCCCACAGCTAACATCACACTCAACAGCGAAAAGCTCAAAGTTTATCCTCTACAATCAGGAATAAGACAAGGATCCTTACACTCACCACTTTTATTCAACATAGTACTGGAAGTCCTAGTCAGAGCAATTAGGCAAGGAATATACAAGTGATCCAAATCAGAAAGGAAGAAGAAAAACTATTTGCAGATCACATCATATTGTATATAGAAAATCCTAAAGACTGTCAGAATAAATGAATTCAGTAAAGGTACAGGATATAAAATCAATATGCAAAAATCTGTTGCATTTCTACACCCTGATATTGAACTACCAGAAAGAAAAATATAGAAAACAATCCTATTTACAACTATATAAAAGAATAAATACTTAGAAACAAATTAATCTAAGGAGGTGAAATTCCTATGCAGTTAAACTATAAGACATTGATGAAAGAAACTGAAGATAACACAAACAAATGGAAAGCTATCCCATGCTCATTGATTGGATGAATTAATATTGTTAAAACGGCCATACTACCTAAAGCAATCTGCAGATTCAGTGCACTCCCTATTAAAATTCCAGTAACATTTTTCACAGAAATAGAACAAGCAATTCTAAACTTGTATGGAACCACAAAAGACCCCCAAATAATCAAAGATATCTTGAGAAAGAAGAACAAAGCTGGAGGTATCATGCTCCTTGACTTCTAACATAGTTATTTAACTATGTTATTATTATTCTAACATAGGTATAATAATCAAAATGATATGGTGCAAAACAGACACAGAGATCAATGGAATAGAATAGAGCCCAGGAAAAAAACCCCATGCATATATGGTCAAAACATTTAAGACAAAGGAGGCAAGAATATATACAATGGGAAAGGACCATCCTTCAACAAATGGTGCTGGAAGACTGGACAGACACATGCAAAATAATGAAACTAGATACCATTTTACACCACACCCAAAAGTAACTCAAAGTGGATTAAATACCTGAATGTAAGATCTGAAGCCATAAAAAACCTAGAAGAAAATACAGTCAGTGAGCTCCCTGACATCAGTCTTAGTGATGATTTTTTAGATATGATTCCAAAAGCAATGGCAATGAAAGGAAAAAATATACAAGTAGGACTATATCAAACTAAAAGACATCTGCACAGTAAAGGAAACCATCAATAAAATGAAAAGGAAACCTACTGAGTGGGAGAAAATATCTGGAAATTATGTATCTGATAGGGTTTAATATCCAAAATATGTAAAAATAGACAACTCAATAGCAAAAAAACCAAACAATCCAGTTAGAAAATGGGCAGAGGATAAGAAAAGGCATTTTTCTAAGGACAACATAAAAATGGTCAACAGGTATATGAAAAGATGTTCAACATCACTAATCATACAGAAAATGCAAGTCAAAACCATGGTGAGATATCACCTTATACATGTTAGAATGGCTATGATCAAAAAGATAAGAAATAATGAGTATTGGCAAGGATGTGGAGAAAAGTAACACTTGTGCAGTGTTGGTGGGAATGTAACCTAGTATAGCCACTACTGAAACCAATACAGAGGTTCCTCAAAAATTAAAAATAGAACTATCATATGATCTAGCAATTCTACTTCTAAGCATTTAACTGAAGAAAATAAACAAAAAAACATAATTTGAAAAGGTACATGCACCTCTACGTACCCTGCAGCATTATTTACAATAGCCAAGATATGGAAACAACCTGCATGTCCAGTGATAGATGAATGGATAAAGAAGATGTGCTTGCTATACATATACAATGGAAAACTATTCAGCCATAAAGAAGATTGAAATTTTGCCATATACAACAACAAGGATGGATCCTGACATCATTATGCTAAGTGAAAAGAGTCTGGCAGAAAGACAAATACTGTATGCTCTCACTTACATGTGGAATCTAAAAAACAAAAAAACAAACAAACAAAAAACCAAGCCACAGATACAGAGAACAGACTGGTGGTTGCCAGAGGCAGGGGGTGGGAGGGGAGAATTGAAATGGGTAAAGGAGTCAAAAGATACAAACTTCAGCCATAAAATAAGGAAATCATAAGGATGTAATGTCCTGCAATGGTGACTATAGTTACAATACAGTAATGTATATTTGAAAGTTGCCAGAAGAGTATGTCTTCAGTGCAAGAAAACAATTTTTTGTGTGACTATGCACAGTAACAGATGTTAATTAGACTTACTGTGGCAATAATTTTACAATCTATACAAACACTGAATCATGTTATACACCTGAGTAATAAAATGTAATATGTCAATTATGTCTCAATTTTAAAAAAAGGTGGATAACAGACATGATTTCTCTTTCGAAATCTTAGTGGTGATACAAAGACACTGTGGCTCATACCACAATGGCTTTCCAAACTTGTTAATGTGCCATTAACAACAATTTCATGAACACGGGACTAAAAATAACAGCATAGCATACCTCTATCTTTCTTTGGAATAAGTGAATTATGATTCTCCCGGGGATGACCAAGACATTTCCAAGAAGTGTTCTCTTTTTTCTTTAGGACAATCTCTATTTTTCCCACATTCTCAACAACCCGCACTGAAAAGAAGATAAACACTAAATAAAAGACTTTATTGTAAAAACAATTTTCTCAAATAGCTTAAGTGTTCCAATCTCATACGAATGACATTGATCATAAGTAAGATAAATAAGATTTTATATATGTAGTCATAAAAATTGTTTATGTCATATATGGTGTTAAATACATCTTAATTTATTTTAGATTCAGATTAACTTCTTTAACCTAGTTTATCAATAACCAAACTAATATGTATTGCAAGTTTTCATATTATCTCAAATATAGCCATGGCAGTTAATTAAGGCAGCTAAAAAAAGGAGAAGGGGGGCTAACATATACAATTAGCCATTGAATGGACTCACAAAAGCAAATTTAATTTATACCTTTTTTTTTTAACATTTCTTAAGTTGGGATCTGAGTTCTTATGAGTGAATTCAACAGAATTCACAGAAAATAATAAATAAACACAGAAAGAGCCTCAGGAGAATGAGTCCTTATAAAGGGCATATGAATCTTTAATAGTTAAAACCTTTTAGATTACCTTTTTATTTTTGGTTGATTAAAATAAAATTCTAAAAATAGTTTAGAATATGGATATAATAATAAAATACAGGTTTTTACACAGATTAAATTTTATGAATGGACTGTACTTTTAAGGACCTAAAGAGTATTTAATTTTGTCTTTAGAAACATCTGTTCTTCCTTACTTGTAAACAGGTAATTCAGTAGCAATTTAACAACTTTTAAGACAGTTGAATGAATTCAATTTAATGAGCACTGATTTGCACTGATGTGAAGCTTAACAAAAGTAAAAACATGGTCCTTGAGTTAAAAGAGCTTAATTTATAAACTTTTCAGAGCTTACTATGATACACAGAAAAGGGAAGGCAAAGAACAAATATTAAGGTACTCTGACGATACTTGAAAAAAGAAGCCACATGTGCATTTTAGAAAATGTATGTATGTGTGATATTATTTAACCTTAAAAAAGAAGAAAATCCTGCCATTTGTGACAGTACAGATGAACCTGGAGAGCATTATAGTAAGTGACATAAGCCATACAGAGAGGTTGCCAGGTACTAGGAGGTGGGAGGAAATGGGGAGATGATGGTAAAAGAGCACAACCTGTCACTTATAAAATGAATAAGGTCTGAGGATTGAATGTACAACATTGGGAGTGTAGTTGGTAACACTGTATTATACAACTGAAATTTGCTAATAAGACAGTGGAATTAAGTGTTCTCACCAAAAAGAAAAGGTAAATATGTGAGGTAATGGATGTGTTAACTTGATTGTGGGAGTCCTTTCACAATAAATATATATATCAAATCATCACATTGCTCACTTTAAATATATTATCATTTTGTCAATTATACCTCAAAAAAGCTACAAACAAAAGACAAAAGAACAAGAAACCTTCAATTCTCTGATGAGCCTCCTGTTGTTAAACATCAGTGTAAACCCCACAGTGTGCATTTATATGCAGCAATATTCATAATTTAATATGTTGTCAACATTTAAACATATATAAAAATATACACATAAGAACAATTTGTCTGGTCTAGTGTATTTCTGCAAGCTGGATGTCAGGCATAGTGCCGAGCTGAGGAAGGTAGGAAGAATGCAAGAGAGAATTGTTTTCTAAGGAGAGAAAAAGGAAAGTACAAAGAGATAAAAGGAACAAGGCAAAAGAAAAAAGGGAGTAAAACCTGGAATCAGAGGGAAAAGAACACACTTAAAAATTAGTATAATTGTTTATAAAGAAAACTTAACACATTTGTTTTGCAACATGAAAATGGACATATGAAAAATAAGACAAATACTGATTCCCCCCACCCTGCCCCATGTGTGTACACATACATAATTATTTTTTGGTAGCTTACCAGAAAAATCTTCATGAATCTCATGGCTTAGCTCTGGAAAAGAAAAATAAATTTACTTAAAATCTTACTTCAATTCATACAATATCATATAAGATATTTTAAGTGGCGATTTTAAATGGTTCTCTTATGTACTATTTCAAATCTCTTAAGAAAAACATATTCTGACCACAAAAATGTTGAGTCAAATTATTGAAATATACTTCAAGTTTTCCATTTCTCTCCCCATTAATAAAGAACAAATACTCAATTGCCCACAAGTGGTTGGAAACCTACACTAGTCTAAAGTATGGTCTTTAGGTATGGCCAGTATGGACTGACAATCCTACAGCACAGGGAGGGAGGCAGCACCTGAGGCAGGATGCTCACGTATGTGCACATATGTGATTCCCGCCAGGCTTGGGTCTGGCTCTGTCTGTCCTGCTTACTGTGCTCCCAAACTGAAAAAAACTATTGAGTATCTGTGCTATGTTTTCTGAAGGTGTTATGGATACAATGATTAGTGAAAAAGAAGAGCCCCTACTTTACGAAGCTACATTCCAGAAAGGGGAGATATTTTTGCAAATATCTGCACAAATTTCACTGAGTTAACAAAGTTATCTGGAAGTCACAATTTTCATTATTTTAGTCCTTTCAATCCAATTATCAGCAACCCAAGTTTCATATTTTTGACTGTGGAATTTTTGTTTCTTTTTTATATGTGTGCTAGATATATAGTTAAGCTACAGTGTGAACACAATTATCCATAAAGTATTTAAAACATAAGAAATGCTGGCACAAAGGTTTTACTTCAAAATCATGACATCACTCCTGAAAAATGTATACTTTTCTAGATATCTCAGAGTTTGGTTAAAACCCTCCCATAAGAGGCAATATACACTAGCTCTTATGTTAACAAAAAATAGGACAGGATATATTTCTGAAAGAAAGGATTAAGATTTGAGGTTGATTAATGAATTGGAAAGTAGGAAAAACATTTATCAACTCTGATCAAATTCAGGACTAATGGTACTGCATTAATATAGTAAAGTACTGAGGAGAACCCTGAGTCAGCTAAGGTCTGGAGAATTTCAATCTGTTTTGCAAAAGTAAATGAAATGTTCTTTACAGGAGAATACCTACTTGAAATAGTTTCCTTGTTTTTGTTTTACTTCTACCTTATAGAATAAGATCACCTTCATAAAAGGAGAAAAGGGTAAAATCCTAGAGTCATTATGGGTTAAAAATGGATTAAGGATCTGTCATCTGTGATTCCAGATTTTAGTCGTGACTTCTTTCTCTGAGAAACCTGTAATCTTTCAAAACACACAGAAATGGCCAATGTTTGACAGGCCTCCAGAGATTCATTTGTAGGTGCCAAGTAAAAGAGACTTATAAAGCTAGGCCAATAAATATTTCTTCCTACTATTATTGATTTTGATTGCAATTAATCATTTAAACTTGGGAGAGGTAAGGTTGTGCTGCCATTTGCTAGCACTTTTTTAGTTTAAGGAAAGAGAGAAAAATTGATCCCCAAATAATAAACTAAAGTGACAAGATCAGGTAAAATATTACAGTTACCTAGACTGTAGACCAAGTTATTGACATACTTAAAGGAAATTGGAGTTGTTTCCATTAATAAATATTAAAGTACTTACCAATATATATGAGAAACGAATGATCCTGGATAATTGTTTCAGCTCTAAAGGAACCACCCTGATGATCAACTATGATTGAGTCTAAACCGATATCCTTAAACAGAAAGCAAAAAGAGAAAGATTAGAAAGTAATTTTTCCCCAAACTTCTGCAACTATACTTTTAAGGTGATTATTGGAGGTTCATATGACACTTCATTACAGAACCCAAAAGCTAAATAAATCTTACCCACACTTTCTCTCTCATACAATCCAGTTGTCCTTCAAAGCACATATTAACATTTTAATTGTCTATTTGTCTTTGTTAAATAATTTACCTTACGTACTCATCTCTAAGCCCTATGTATAAGGGACTGTCTAAAATATTTCTTGGTACCTAGGTGCTCAATAAAATTTGTTGAATAAATTTGGAAAAACAATTAGCATCAGACCAGAAGCCAACATATCCATGTTCATTTTAATCTTTCCATTACTGTGTGATGCTGGCAAATGACACAACCTCTTAACCTCAGCTTATAAAAAAATTAATTAACTAACAAAATTTTAAATGTCTCTAATTTCTTACATAGCCTTGTTTTGGTGCAAGTTATTTTGGTACCTATGATTTATACCATACATTGAACACATTATTCCAGGTAGAAAACTTCCCTCTTCTCTTTGTCATCCATCCATGTGCTTCACTGACACCACCCGTGGGAGCAGACCCCAACCTCCTTAGGCCCTGCCCTCTTGGTTTCAGACTGTGTGATGAGGAAACAAACACGAGACAGAGTGGAAGGGCGGACAAGCAGTGCCTCTGGCCCTGGTCACTACTGCAGAATAGTCAGAGCTGCCACAGTCAGAGGCACTCACCAGCTCAGAGGGGGTTCTTCTGCTATTATAGAAGTAACATGCATTCTCAGATATTTCTAGCACCACCAGAACTTATCTTTAAATCTACACGGTTCCCCAAGGGTGGGAATCTTGCCAACTGCTGGAAGATGTGTTTGGAGATGTAAGTTGTCTGCTTATTTACCTGACTTCCCTGTTGGGCGAGAAAAGAAGCCCCACAAAAGCCAAGTATGTATGTACCTGGCCCATCATTAGATCCCTGAATTCTAAGATAGGGTTGCAAATAAAGTAGATACTTAATAAATACTTAGAAAATGAATTAACTCCTTAATTTTAGTTTCAAGAGGGCAAATGAACCCCACTGTGGTTTAAGCATACTCAGCCACAGCAGTATAGTCTCTTCTGCCTCTCAAATTCTGATTTACATGCAAGAAATTAGTTCTTATGGTGAAGTTACCTGGGATTATCATTTTTGTTATCCATGCTTTAAAAAACAAAAGTCACAGAAAGTACATAAAATAATTCCTAGTCTAGCCTTTTTCTAAGAGACTAGAGCATGGTTGTTAAAAGCATATTCTTTGGAGCCAGCCTACTTGGGTTCAAAATGCTACATCTGCCACCTGTGGTGTAACTTTGGATATATTACTTAATCTGTTTCCTCATCCATAAAATAGGAACAACGTAAGGATCTACCTCATAGACTTACTGTAAGTCACACAAGAAGAGTGCTTAGAAAAGTACCTGCACATAGCTAAGATTTATTGAGTAGTTACTTTTTTATCCTGATTTTAAAGATGTGCTTACCTTCTGTTTGGTATATATGACAATGGTGACTAAAGAGTCTGTTTGGAACCAGTCATAGCTGTAAAGTATTTTTAAAAATGAAGTTATATTGACAATCATATGCATTAATATATTAAATCATTAAATATATGATCTAAAAATATATATGACTTAAAAATATAAAGTATAACTTAAAATATAACTATATGACTTAAACATATGGCTTAAAATCTATAGTTGGACATATATTTCTCTAGGTAGACATTTTTCTAAATTATGAGTGGTCTTGCCGTTATATACTGGTAATTATTTCCAAATTTAAAATACCTGTACTTCCTGTGTTTCAACTTAGATAAAAGCAAACAATATCTTTGGCAAGACACTTTTTATAAAAGTTACACATTTCTAAAATTTTCTTTTATCAGAGCATTAACACATTTTCCTAAGGATTATGAAGAAATCTCCATGTATAATTTATTACCTTTATTCCTCCCTGTCACAAATATATTATTACTCAAGAAATTAATTTATCAAAGTCGGTTAATAAGTCAACAGTAAAACTTAAAGTAAAACTAAGTCTTCTGTTTTGCAATAATTATTGAGCAAACTGATACTGTTTTTGCACTTATTACCTACAGATAGATACCCATAGGTAAATCCTAGAGTAGGTATCCTAGGCCTTTAACTTAAAATTGTATATGAAATAATTTAACAGATTTAACAAATACAGCAGGATGCTGCTGTTATAATACAGATTAGTGGTGGTGGGAGGAAGGTGGAAAAAACTACCAAGAATACACATAACCCTGAGGATTTTTGAAATGTCATCGACAAAAATATATATGGATTGTTTAATTTACTATCAGACCATTAGTGTGCAATAATACATTTTGAAGGATTTCCACTAAAATGATAAAATTGATAAACGAGGTATATAAAAAATCAACGCTGAATAAATTACGGTATGGTGTTATGATGGAAATCAGACAAAAAATGCTTTTGCAGAATATTTAATGACAGGAAATTGCTCATAGAATACAATGTAGTACTAATATTACCAAAATAGAATAATATGGAAATAGGTATATGAATCAAATGGGGTAGAATAAAGCAAATATTAAGAGTATAGATTTAGAATTGATGTATTACAACTGATTTTACCACTTTCTTTTGTATTTCTCTACATTTTCCAAGTTTTCTACCGTAAATGTATATTTTTTAACCAGAAAAAATATTTTTGAATTGTTTTATAAAATTGAGGTGTTTAAAATAGATCAAACTTCAGTTATATCAAAAATTTATGTTTATAGAAAAGCTCATTTTCTAACAATGCCTGAAAAATGAGGCTTTACAGTTTTTATGTCAAGAAGCATGATTAATGTAATAAGCAATAAATCAAACCCAGGGCTGTTTCATGTTTTTAAGTGTGCACATTTTGGTACAGAACTGACTTAGCTTTAAAAAAGTAAAACAAAAATGCATACCTTGGAGAACTATGACCTTCTTTGGCAAATGTATCTGTCACTTGGCTCTGGGGAAACACGCCTTCACAAAGAAAAACAAACAAACAGCCACAATTCATCTAGACAGCACTTTTCTTTCCTTCTTTTCCTTGTCAGTAAATGTCTAACTGAAATATTATAAAAGGACACAAATCATAGAAGTATTACTTAATGAATTTTAATAAACTATTGGAGCCAGCACCCTCCTGTGCCCCCTAAATCATTACCCTGACCCCAAGAGTAAACCCTTATTCTGACTTTAACATCATGATTAGTTTTTGCCTGTATCTGACCCTTATAAAAATAGAATTAGATGTTCTCTTTTGGTGTGGCTTTTTTGTCCTACATCATAGACATTGCAGTTTTATGTGAACTAAGCATGACTGATAGTAAGCAATAAATCAGTCCTAGAGGTTTCTGAGATTTTATCCATGCCGTTGAATGCATCAGTAGTTTGTTCTCTTTTATTACTGTTTTACCATTGTATAGATATACCAGAATTCATTTATTCTCCAGTTTATGGACATTTAGGTTCCCAGTTTTGGGCTACTATGCATACTGCTATTATAAATATTCTTGTGTATGTACATGTACATTCTTAACACATATCCTCATTCCAAAGTGGTTGTACCAACTCATATTTTTTACCAGAAGTGTCTGAGAGTTCCAGTTGCTTTACAATTTCACTGACAGATGGTGTTCTGTCTTTCCATCTTAGTTACTCTTGTGGGCATGCATCAACACTGCATTTTAACAGCCCACTGAAACTGTGGTTTTCAAATTGTTTTAGAAAACTCTGAGACACAGAAGAACTTTGGAGATTCTATGAACACTAAGTATTTCCCTCTTACAACAGGAGTGCACTGTTTATATCTGTAAGATTTAGTTTGGCAAAAAAAAGAATACTGCTACTAAAAAACTTTTGAAAATCACTTCTTCAATTATATTTCTATTTCTCAAGCTGTGCAGGAAAAAGAAATTTGTGTTTAGTCTCTGGTGAGTGTTGGAATTCTCAAACTAAAAGTCACAGTTAATTACATAAAGTTAGAGATGGGAGGTACCTCTGAGAGAAGATAATTTAGAGGTTTTCAGGATTCTTTCTAGCACAAAAGCTTCTGTTTAAACCCAAGTCTAAGTGCAGCATAAGTTGTTAAACAGCCATATTTTTTGGAGGAGCTGATCATGAGCCCTGAGCTCAAGCCTCACTTACTCAGCTTCCATCTCTAACCAAGTAATGCTGCAGAACAATTAATTTTCAGATAAACCTAAAGGAAGACTCAGAAACGTGACATAACAAAGACGAAGTTATGAACCAACTAGCAGTGAGCCCTAAGGAAGGATGTTCTACCACAAAACAACAGGTATAACAAAAAGACTACAATAATTAAAATGTATTTTTTTTAAATGACAAAAAACAAGAAAAGATGGCTTACTAAATTTCTGAGAAATGTTGAAAGATGTTTTATTAAGAGATTAATGGTCTTTCTCTTTTGGAGACATCTTCAATGTATAAATAAAAAAATAAACACATCATAATCTAACAATTTATGTATGAAAAAACTATCAACAGGAATCATTAGTCATTAGTTTTGATCTGATATTATCTAATTACAACCAGGAAATCTGTACTTGATATCAGTGTCACCACTGAGATCTTATGAAAAACAGTGTTTCCTCTTTCTCAAATTCAAACCAGCAATGCAATCTGCCCTGTAGTCTCTCATGAGAGAGAAAATGAGATAATTTTCAAATGTTCTTTAAAACTACACCATATCACACATATATAACTTGGTAAAATGGAACAATGTCATACAGGCTCTGAAATGTGTCACTTCAACATCTGCCAAACAGAACACCTTACATAATATCTTTCTAGAAAAGATGAAGGAACCTGCAGTGAATGTGGACTAAAATAATTAACTAGTTATGTAGACTGAATGAACATTCTCCTTTCCAAAAGTGCTAATGAACTGTTATCAGTTTGAAGGTATCAAGTTTCTAGTATACTACTATAGTAGTCTATCTCATTCAGTATTTTAAACAATTGTCTGGATAATGACACAGAAGGCAGGTAGTTCATATCTGCAAATACACAGACTTCGGCAAATATGAGAAGCAGCTAATAAATACACACATAAAGCAATCTTCCAGGATCCAAGGTCCCAAGAGGTAACTATGCTGGCCAGACCGGCTGGAGAGTGAGTGTTAACATTCCATTCTTACGGCCACCTTTAACTGAGATATTAAATGCAGTGTATCCAAAGGAAAGCAACAGGAGAGTAAAGGTTCTAGAAGTCATACGTGGTGGGAAAGGAAAGGCCCAGTCCATCAGTAATTAGTCTTTATATAAGGGTTGTTTGCCTAGATTTACAATGAAGTCAAACATCAGACGAATCCTAAGACTGGTCCTTCATTTAATGTAGTGATGTTTACTATCAGACAAAAAACTTCAGGTGTCACATCACAAGTTCCATAAATTAGTCTACAATACAGACTATTTCCTCAAGTTAAAAAAGAAGAGGTAATTCATCTAGAATTCTAGTTTGTTAGCTGAGTTTCTATAATTTTCTATTACAAACAGGGAGAAAAAAAACTATTTCTATTTTAATAATATAGTTTAGTCAGAGCAAGCCCATGCATTTCATGAGTCAGTACTGACCACCACACCATACTTTTCAGGTGCTAGGAGATATGTCAGTCTTAATTCTAAGTCATACTGAATAGCTAAAGATTGAGCTGCTGAGCTTGGAGAAGAGTAGGTTAACAGGCTGCTCAGCATCTGTATGCAAACACTGGAGATGAGCTCCACACCTGAGGTGACTTGTTCAGTTTTGCTTCTGAGGGTGGAACTAATCACTCTAAGTATTCAAACTGAGGGCAGAGGAACAGTTTCAGGGACGTTACAGAAGGGACCACTGTAAAAGTAATGGCTGGAATAAGGAATCTGTAAATTTCTGTCAAATTCTCTAAGTTTAGGCAAGTAAAAATATCTTTTGTATTAAAAAAGCCCTAAATATCCCAGATAATTCTATGAAGCAATATGGTATATAATCATGTGACTGTGATTGATTTTTCTTTTTACTATAAATTTATATGACTTACCATTTAAGACTTTCTTTTCTTCACAGTAGTCTGTATAATGAATGGTTTAGAAAAAAAAGTCAGGTAAGAATATTTTAACACTAAAGAGAATATCGGTTAGTAGTACTGACTTAAAGATAACACCCCTTTTTTGAAAGGCTTTCTTCTAAGGCCTGAGGAGAGAAATCAGTCTAATAAATAGGTGCCCTCCCTACGTTTCAAATAAGTAAATTTTATGTCTAAAGATTGGTCAGGCCTTTTTTCCAGGTGTCTCCCAGTTTTAGTGGGCTTTTTTCTACTTCTCTAGACTTTTTTTTTTCCTAGTATCTTAGTTAAATCACATTCCAAATTAGTTAAAATTAAAATAAGTAAATTTTATGTCTAAAGATTGGTCAGGCCTTTTTTCCAGGTGTCTCCCAGTTTTAGTGGGCTTTTTTCTACTTCTCTAGACTTTTTTTTTTCCTAGTATCTTAGTTAAATCACATTCCAAATTAGTTAAAATTTATCCAGAATTTGTTAGATTACATTTTATAAATGAAACATGTTAACAACCCAAAAGAAAGACACCTTATTATCTTCCTCTTTTATCTACGTCAGTACTTATAGTGACTATTGTTACTCCAGACTTAAATGGCAAGAATGCCGAAATATGCTAAGACTTTCACTTGTATATATAATGTACTTACTAGTGTTGCAAACGGAGAGATATTTTACAGGTTTTTCCTTCAGGATGGCACCCAACTCACAAATCTATCTTATACCTTGACTGCCACAAGTGCTATACCATATGGGCAAAATAAAACGCTTGGCAAGTTGTCAGAGTTTAAAGAACAAAACAAAACAAAAAAAGAGTAACACAAAATATCCACGTAGTAACCTGACAGACATCACTTGTTAAGATGACATCACTTTTTATAGAAAAAGAAACCAAAGTGCTTAAATAAAAGTTTTCAAATTTTTTATGTTCTGATTTTCAATCAACCAGAGATCCCATAAATACTTCCACTTTGCTCACCTATCATAAAATGATCATGATTAAGCAGGCCACATGACCATTCTTTTTGTTTAGTTTCCCCATTTTTCCAAAATAATTTCACAGCTAAAAGGGATCTTAACAATACAGCAAATTATCATCTGATCCCATCACTTGAGACTGAAAATCAGAGGTAAGAGACTTGAATGAAATCCATAGCAATTCAGCAGCAAAGCCAAGATTAGACTTCAGTTCCTTTGAAACTTAGCACTAAATTTTATACTGTGCCATTGCTAGAGTTACTACTACCTGAAGAGACAAAACACCTAAAACCATTTAAATTATACCTCAAAATGAGCTTTGTTCACCAAATGCCAGATAAAAATCAAGCCATTACAGTTGGTATCCCCTCTTGCTGATGTACTTCATTCAGTCAGTTCCATCTGTCTTTGCTGCTGCAGTTGTGATTATTTTAGAACAGCACACTCTGAGACATAAGTAAATCTATTTTCAGTGTACCACATAGTTGGCAGTTTGATGAATCTCACTTATCATGTAAAATAATTTGTCTCTATCTCAGAGTCTCACAGATTTTGAAAAAATTGCCCTTGGTAATTTGTTTCTAAGAAAAAATATGCATTACTCATATGATTTACTTCCTCCCTGGTATGAGCTGATTTGAACTATCAGACCTTTCTAGATCCTGCTTACTCAGTAATTTTTTCCCTGAGTCTTTAATACAAGAAGTACCAGTAGGAAGAGAACTTCTATTTAAATGATTTAAATTATCTTTAAAACCTCTAGTAGTCTATTTCTGCAACTCTTTCCAAAAACTGAGTCATAGAAAATAAAGACACTGTTTTTCACTAATAAGCATATTTATAGCTGAATCATTTTAGTCACATGAGATACTTTTCTCTCTTACAAGAAATCTGTTATTCTCTCTTAATAACTCCCATTATTTAGTTTGCTTCATGGCCAAGAGAATTTGTATTTTCTTTTAATGTTGGTTAAACTGTGTTACTCTGATAAGAACCTCTGTTTTCTGGAGAGGTCAGAGTCATTTAAAAGTTTAGCACTGTGATCTATCAGCATTCTACTCTTCTTTGGTAAAAGGGCTAGCTGAGGACTTCAAATTGTGACCCAATTTAGTTTACCTCTGCTGAGTGGGGACACAGGAGGTTTCTCTGGGATAAAGAAAGAAAAATTCTGTCTTACCAGTATGCTCATTGTTTTAATAAATAGATGCTGATCATCATCTTAATAGGGATAGCAACATATATGAAGCCATTTGGATAAAAAGTTAGGAGAATATAAATATATATTCAGTTTGCTTATACATGCAAAATGATCATTTGGAAGGATTCACAATAAAAGTAGTACTGTGGTTACCTTTGTGTGCATAGGAGGGAAAAAGGGCAGATAGGAGACAGAGGGATGAGAAGGGCATTTCTCATTCTTGACTCATGTGAATGCATTACTTACTCAAAAATTAAATAAAGTGAATTAAAAATAAAATGTCAATATGTTCTTTTTCATACCATGTGATAAATACCTTAAAAGAGGTATGAAAGCATAGAGGGGGGCATCTTTACTTCGAAGGAATGTGAAAGAACTCCATTAAGGAAGGAATAGTTTAGCTGCATTTTGAAAATATGTAGGCATTTTGTCAGGCGACCCTAAAAAAAAGCATTCTAGGAAAACAATGCTAAGCATTTATATTTGAATGTTTTACATTTATTTTGTAGTTACATATCCACCTTCCCTTATTACTACAAAAGGTTGATATCATGTAACCATCAGAGGTGAGCTGTCCTCTTACCAGGGATCTTAGTAGGCACAAAACTCAAAATGTACCAAGCTATGTTCCTTTTACAACTTAATGGTGCCAGGAGACTCCTTGGCTGGCTACAGTGTGTTTAACAGCCATTTTTCTCTAGAAATTCTTCCCTATCTCTAAGTGGAACTCCTTCTAACATAACTGAGGCTTAATCCTTGCTTTTGTTTCAAAAGTTATATATTCATTTCTCAACTCTCATTTCTCAACTCTTACACAATTTAGTAATTTCTATATTTCTAAACTCTCTTTACCTTTTACTTTCCTCCTTTCATCTTTGTAATCATCTTCTGAATCATCTGTAAATTATATACATCTCTCTAACTTCAAGGCCCAGAATTACCCCTTCCCTACAACAGTTTGCTAGTAGGATTAAAGATTTAATAGTTCAAACACATATACTGAAAAAGTCCAGGATTAAAAAGTTTTAGAAGTACCAGAGTGTATACTTAACACCTGATCAGTTTTTTCCCCATTACACATTTTGTAAATCACAGCATAAAGTGCGTTTTTACAGTTTGTATTTTTCCCTGAGTAGGCTATATGTGTCATTTTTTATTCAATTCTCCTATTTATCAGTTATTTTCCATTCCTGTCATATCTTCTGGGCTTAATCACTTTCCTTATTTGGAATCACCTGCACATGAATATATGCATGTTCAGAAATCATTTTCCTCTGAAAACAAATACTAACCTTAACCAAACATTGGTCAGTCACATCCATACAGCAAGAAATACTTCCTGTTCAGGGTTGCATCTGTCCCCTGACCAGGGACTTCTCACCCCCTATTTTCAATTACCTTTCCCTTATATCCTTCTGGCAGGAATCACTCAGACCAACTGACAGTAGCAAAGGCAAATTAAGGCAGCCCCTGACTGAGATAGCAAATTTGCTCCTTCAGTAAAGTGCACTTCACCTTAATACCCTGCCTCTTTCTCTTTCCACTAGTTAACAGTCTTGCTTCTCCCCTACCGGAGTCTTGCCCACCCACTTGAGCCCAGACTGTCCCCATTTTCCAATGAGGAAAATGAAGATCCTAGAAGACAGAACTTTGACTATACAGAAGCTGAATGGCCAGCTGATGGCCAGCCCATCCAATAGTTGTCTTAGCTACATACCAGCTTAACATACACATGCCATTAATACCATCATTTTTTAAGAATAAAAACCTAATTCATACACAAGGGTTTCTCTATTTCAGCACTAGTTAACATTTTGGGCTGGATAATTCTCTGTTGTGGGAGTCTATCCTGTACGTTTTTATTTAGGGTATTTATTAGGTTTTTATTAGGTTATTTAGCAGCACCACTGACCTCTCCTCTATCCATTAGAATGCCAATACTTGTTTAGGTGTGACAACCCAAACTATCTCCAGACATTGCTCCCCTGGGAAGCAAAATAAACCCTGCTTAAGAACCACCAGAATATATGCAAG